CGACAATACACTAAACGCATCATTAAGTTAGTCTAAGCTAGTCCAACTTAGTCCCCAAAGTTAATCTAGTCTGAAATAGTCCAACTTAGTCCCCAAAGTTAATCTAGTCCGAAAGTCCCCAAAGTTAATCTAGTCCGAAATAGTCCAACTTAGTCCCCAAAGTTAATCTAGTCCGAAATAGTCCAACTTAGTCCCCAAAGTTAATCTAGTCCGAAATAGTCCAACTCAACAAACGCACCCTTACTTTTATGCTATGCATGACAAAATATAAGAATATTGAATAATCTGAATTTACTTGACAAAAAAAAAAGAAGAGAATAATCTAAATTTACAGAGCGACAATAAAAAAATTAATTTAAATCAATTTAGGTCATTGAAAGTTAGTGGCATGTAAGAATTTCAAAATTTATAATAATTTTTTATTCAGATTGTTGCTTGTGAACTAAATATTTAGCTTCTTCACACACTTTTTCTTAATGTTGTCCACTCTTTTTGGTTGACTTATTCCATTTCATTGCCTTAATTAAAAGAAGTGTGTGAAAACTGAAAAAGCTATGTGAAAATCACATCTCATTTGTTATTTATGTTATGGGAATTTTCTAGGTGTTTGAATTTCGTCAATTTAGTAAGAAGAATATGTCTACAACGCTCTATTTTTTAGTAGATATTCTACACTAACAGAGAGATGAGAAAGTAGAAAACCTAACTATCAGGATAATCCACTACTTACATATCATCTTTATACTTAAGTTTAACTTTCTCTTCCCATAAAGATGAATTTTGTTTAAAATATCAGTAATATGAAAACACAATAATGTTTAGGCCTTTGGAAGCATCCCGATTTTATTTTTCAAAATAATAATGTAAATTGACCCAAGAAAAAAAAAAAAAAAAACCCATTGCGGAGAGACTTGTGGAGGGGATAAAATGACTTCATACGATCTCCATAAACTATAAAGAACTAGATACGGAAGTTCTTGTCAATCCTTAATACTCTTTTCCTCCTCTGACCAAAGATAGAATCAAATGTACTTGCATACTTGCATGTGAACTAAATTATTATGATGACTTCAACGATCTAATTGATGATGTTAAAAAATAAAAACCAGATAATGGGGGATAGTTTTCTAGTTGTTATAGTAATATTTGTTTCGGAACATGATTGTGTAAATTTAAAAATATTATTTCAATAGGATTTGAGAAATCTAATATGTTTATAACTCGTATTACTTGTGAAGTAAGTAAAACTTATCTAAGCAGTATAAATAAAGACAAAAGATTGCAAAGACGTTGTGCAATTTCACAACAATTGAGCTTTTTCTTTCTCTTTCTTGCCGTTCCTCACTACCCTCACCATACAAATTTTCCTTTTAACACTAACTTATTTTGAACGATAAAAATTATGTTTGTCTAATCGAAATAAACTGCCGAAATATAATTAGAAGTTAAATTCTTTTAAACCAATCCACCGGCCAAAGCAAAATCCCAAGTTCCTATTTTTTTATCCTCATAACAAATTTTTATAGATAAAACTGCAACATCACAACAAAGAAGTCTACAAAATAACAGAAACCATGAATTAGAATGTAGAAGCAATTGACGTTAATAGAAAATAAATGGAGGGTTGCACGATGTTGAATTGTATATTCCAATTTAGCAATTATATTGTTTTTCATGCTCTCAACTCTCAAGTGGCTGCCGCACACAAAAGAAATAGGGTTTTACACGTGAAACTGCATGCCGGATAACAACGGAAGCAGAAGTCATCATCCTACTACTCTCGCGAGTAAATTAGTCTCTCTTTGTTTGGTCGGTACAAAAAGGATTGTGCTATTCACACTTTCATTTTCACTTTTCATGTATTTTTTTCAATTTTTGATCGTCGAATTGAATGAATAAAGAAGATCAATAAAAAAAAATTAACAAAGGTGTGTGGAAAGTAAAATTGAGTGTGGGAATAACACTACCCTATAGAAAATGAGGATTTATTAAAGGCTAGTTTGATATTGTTATGCTTTAAAAAAAAAACTGCTAAACTAAAGTTTTTGAGTGTTTGGTAAACTTTTTTTTTGTAAAAGTGTTTTTAACAAAAAAAACTTTTACAAGAAAAAATGTTGAGTGTTTGGTAAACTTTTATATAAATTGCTGTCAATATGTTAAATGACTAAAAAATATATGATCTTTAATATGATATAATAATTGTCAAAGAGAATAATATAGAAGTAATGATTGTAATTATGTAAAATACAAGGGGCTATACTTTTCATTTAAAAATTTCATTAAATTGACATTGATTACCATGCTTTAAAAAATAAAAATACGTTTTTAGAAGTACGAGTCATGTGCAATGGGGACAAAATTTATTCTTAATCCAAATAGATGGAAAAATAGTAATTTTCGTTAAAACTTTTATTAGAGTTAGTATCTAATTTGAATTTGCCTTTTCTTTTATCACATTCTCTTTTGGCTTTTTAACAAAAATAGTCCATCAGATTAGTATAATTCTTTACTTTGACTTCTAACATTTTTTTTTTCAAAAGGGAGACAACTGCTGTGCTATGAGAATAAACAGATGTAAACTAAAGTTTTTGAGTGTTTGGTAAACTTGTTTTTGTAAAACTGCTTTTAACAGAAGAAAAAAAGTGTCTGAATGTTTGGTAAACTTTTATATAAATTGTTGTGAATATGTGATATAATAATTGTAAAAAAAAAAAATAATATAGAGGCAATAATTGTAATTATGTAAAATACATGACGGCTATACTTTCCATTTAGAAATTTCATTAAATTGACATTAATTATTATGTTTATTTATTTATTTTTTTTTTGAAAAAAAACACGTTTTTAGAAGTATGAGTCATGTGCAATGGGGACAAAATTTATTCTTAATCCAAATAGATGGAAAAATAGTAGTTTTCGTTCAAAAAAAATTATTAGAGTTAGTATTTAACTTGAATTTGCCTTTTCTTTTATCACATTCTTTTTTGGCTTTTTTAACAAAAATAGTCCATGAGATTAACATAACTCTTCACTTTGATGTTTAACATTTTTTTTCTTCAAAAGAAGGGACAATTGGTGGCAAGCCATGGTTATCCACCCATTTTGGGGACCGGGAAGACTCATAGGCATTTCAGCCTACCCCTGGCCACAAGTCTGGCTTCCACACAAACAGTTGGTTTCGAACATAAGACCTCCAGTTTTTAGTTTTAAGGAAGCCTCATAATCCGCCATTTATCACTGGATCACCAGCTTGTGGTTGATCTGTAACGTTGAAAATTGATACAAATGGTCACTATATTTGTACACCGTCAAACATTTTATTCATTCCATAAAAAATCTCCGTTAAATGAAAAAACAAGTAGAGGGGTTGATTAGACAAAAATACCTTCAATTTAAGGGCGATTTTTTATGAAATGACTAAAATAATTTATGGTAAATAAACTTAGGGACCATTTCTATCGATTTTCAAAATAAAATACTAAAGTGACACATTATGCAATATCATAAAACAATTTGTCTCTCTTTGTTTGGTTGGTACAAAAAGGATTGTGCTATTCACACTTTCATTTTTACTTTTCAAGCATTTCTTTCAATTGTTTATTGTTAAAATCGAATGAATGAAGAAGATCAATAAATAAAAATTAACAAAGGTGTGTGGGAGGTAAAACTAAGTGTGGGAGTAGCACTACCCTTTAGAAAATGAGGATTTATTAAGGGCTAGTTTGGTATTATTGTGCTTTTTTAAAAAAAAAAAAAACCGTTTCTGCTGTGTTATGAGAATAAATAAATGTAAACTAAAGTTTTTGAGTGTTTGGTAATTTTTTTTTTTGTAAAACTGCTTTTAACAAAAAAAAAAAAACTTTTTTAAAAAAAATGTTTGAGTGTTTGGTAAATTTTTATATAAATTGTTGTGAATATGTTAAATGACTAAAAATAATATGGTCTTTAATGTGATATAATAATTTTCAAAGAGAACAATATAAGGACAATGATTATAATTATGCAAAATACATGGGGGCTATACTTTCTATTTAAAAATTTCATTACATTGACATTGATTACTATGCTTTGGGAAAAAAACACGTTTTTAGTCATGTGCAATGGGGACAAAATTTATTCTTAATCGAAATAGATGGAAAAATAGTAGTTTTCGTTAAAACTTTTATTAGAGTTAGTATTTAATTGGAATTTGCCTTTTATTTTTTCACATTCTCTTTTGGCTTTTTTACCAAAAATAGTCCATGAAATTAGCATAACTCTTTATTTTGATCTCTAACATTGAAAATTGATACAAGTGGTCACTAGATTTGTACACTCTCAAATATTTTATTTATTCCAAGAAAAATCTCAGTTAAATGAAAAAACAAGTAAAGGGGTTAATTAAATAAAAATACTCTCAATTCAATAAAGAATTTTTTATGGAATGACTAAAATAATTTATAGTAAATAAATTTAGAGATCATTTCTATCAATTTTCAAAATAAAATACTAAAGTGACACTTTATTCCAATATCATAAAACAATTTAGCTATTTTTTTTTTCACATAGTAACCATTATATTTATAATAATGCACCGGAAACCCAAAGGTCCAAAGTGCTGATCATATGGCACGCCTAATTTACCCAAAACCGTAATGCCCAAACTGACGATGCGAAGCATGGAATCACTACTCCAACTTATTACTAAATTCCCAACGGATTGAAATTTTTTTTCCTCCCTTGGAAAAACAACTTTCTACAATTCTATTAAAATATTCCTCAATACATTTAATATTTATTCAACCTTCCAAATAAGAAATTGAGTGCTCTGGACTCTACAGAGCCCTATGCCTATATACATACAAATATAAATGTCAATTACTTGGCCAAGGCGTTACATATTCTTCCCATATAAACAAATACTCACTTTGTTTTCATTCCCAACCATCCATCGCCCTCCCTCAGTTGCTCAGAATATCAGTATCATTATTCTCTCTGAGATCAGAGAGAGAGAGAGAGAGAGAGAGAGAGAGAGAGAGAGAGAGATGGAAGAGACAAAGTCCAGATTCAATAGGATTTGTGTTTTTTGTGGTAGCAGTTCAGGGAAGAAAGCCAGCTACCAAGAATCTGCTGTTGAACTTGGGAAGGAGCTGGTAAACAACGTTCAATTCATTTTATAATTTATCTTTCAATTTCTTTCCTATTTTTTGTTCGTCCTATATATTCATCCGTTCGGGTTCCAAAATTCCTGCACAATTTGGAACGTTTCATCACCAAAAGAATGTTTCCTAGAAATTGTTTAATCGTATATATGTGCATATATGCCAAATTAATCTATGTTGGTTTTCTGCAAACGATTCTACTCTTGGGATTCAGAAAAGCCATATTTTCTTTGATATTTATAACAAGAAACAGAAGCAAACTAAGGGAATGGGGATACGAACGTGGGTTCAGAGCGGAAGGACACTGCTCTGGCCAACTTGGTTGATTTCAGGTCTAAGGTTTGCTTCTATTTCTCAAGTAGTGTGGGGGGTGTGGAGGGTTGCGTGTTGCAACCAAACAAGCGTTCAACGTGGGCTTATGATTGTTCAAGACCTGGAGCTAGCTAGCATTGATCCTGATTAGGGTTTATGTTTGGCATGAGAGAGAGAGAGAGAGAGGGAGGAAGGAGAGTGCAAGCTGTAAACTGGCTGTCAGTTAAGCAGCTTTCTTGCATGATCTGAGTTTTGATTTTAATTAATTCTTTCTCTCCAGGCCAGGAGGGAACCAAACGTGCTCTCTCGGTATCATGACTCTTTTAAGCGTGTTCACAAGCTTCCATGACTGAACCTCATCTCCATGATTTTTGTTTATGGGTTTCCATGACAAGAAATATATATATAGACACACACACACATGATTTAAAAATTTTAAATAAATAATTTTCACTCAATAGCCTCTTTTAGCTAGCTAGGGTTTTATTCATTCATTCATTCCATCCACTGAAACATACTATTACTTATTGTTGCTGCCATCTCTTCTAGTTTGTTTCAATCAAATCATGCACTACTTTTTTTGTATTTTATGATGAACTCGGTTTCTGACACGTGTTGATGGGTTTTGAATTTCGATGTGTTTTGAAGGTGGAGAGAAGGATTGATCTGGTCTATGGTGGTGGAAGCGTGGGATTGATGGGTCTTGTTTCTCAGGCAGTTCATGATGGCGGGCGCCATGTCCTAGGGTTTGTTGTTCTCTCTCTCTCTCTCTCTCTCTCTCTCTCTCTCTCTCGTACACACACCACACGCATAGGTTACCCTAATGAAATGATTGGCCAAATTGGTTACATTCTTATTTTTTATTGAATTGAACCATACCATGCAAAATTAGTCCCAGTTATATGTTAATTAACTGGGTTCACAAAGGCAGACAACATAGGAATCTAGGATCAAATGCTCCCCCATATTATATAATGAAATTTGTGCATTCCCTTGCCCTTTATTTTTCTTATTGGGACAAAAAGGTTCACATATTTATGGAAAATTATTGTGTCTTCTAGATATTGTGAACATGGTTCGAAACCACTTAAATTAATGTGATCTAAAGTAAGCCTAAAAGTTAACCTCCTTTTAAGTTCTTACAATGTCAGTTCCCTCTGGAGTTCCCAGTTAGAAAGATTTATAGAACTTGAAAAGCTATTTAGTAAAAGTATGGAAACTTTTAGAGGAAGTGACACTGCATTTTGTGAAAAGCCTGCTTTCCCTGTTATGTAAGAGCTCTTGGTCTGTTAAAAATTTAAACACGTTCTATAAAACACAACCGCAGAAAATTAGTATGGTCAATGCCTCTTGCCAAATGTTTGATCAGTTAATTTTCAAGTATATGTCTATTCGCCCATGTGAAACATTTTGTAAATTCTTTTGTTAATATATAGCAGTTTGCTCGTAAATATATGTTGATGTGGTGTTTTTGCAGAGTTATTCCAAGGACCCTAATGCCTAGAGAGGTACATTTAAAAACTTAAATGTGATTTGAAGTGATCATTTGGGGCTTTGCCGATCTCTAAATGATTAATTAATAATGTGATTTGATTAAATTATTGTAGATAACTGGTGAAACTGTTGGAGAAGTGAGAACTGTCTCAGATATGCACCAAAGGAAGGCCGAGATGGCCCGTCAAGCTGATGCTTTTATTGCCCTCCCTGGTATGGTTTTGATCCATGAACCGGACATGTCACAAATGTCATTATTAATGTTAATGAATGTTAAAGTTGGTCTTCCTCGTGTGCATAGGTGATTGTTAAATGTTGATGTATGTTGATCTTACTCTGATTTTACATGGATCAAGGGTTGAAAGCCATCCATGTGCATGTGAAGTTGTGAACCATTATCCAAATCAACTCTCAATTGTTTTGTAAAACCCTTTAATTGCAATTATTATGTTCAGGTGGCTATGGTACCCTGGAAGAATTGCTGGAAGTCATTACCTGGGCTCAGCTTGGAATCCACCGCAAACCTGTAAGAAATACTCTTAATATTTATGCACCCCTTTCTATACAAGGGTTTTGAATGTCAAAAATAATTTTATAAAGCATTCAAAACTTTACAAGAAAGCAATCCCTCACATGATGCCATGTTTCTTGTTTGTTCAAATGTGGTTATGATGTTGTAGATGGTTGTTGTTGATATCCTCAAATTTTCTATTAAACACTAATTAACAATCATTTTCTTCATATTAAAGAATATTTTATCATGTCTCTTGTCTCCATGATTAAATAAGTCTATCATATGTCTATGATTAGTTAATTTATCATGTTTCTAAGTACATGACTCTCTCTCTCTCTCTCTCTCTCTCTCTCTCTCTCTCTCTCTCACATCTATAATTCCATACAAATTAAGCTAGCAAAGCTGAAGGGAGATGATATTGTGATGATGTGAGTCAATCTAATTGTGTGGTATGGATGTATGAGGAAGTTTGATATAGAGAATCAATGCATGTGGTACTTAATTCTAATTCACATGGAAAGATAGCATAAGATTAGGTGGTTTGATTATTTGGAGGATCTCCTTTTGAATGGGAGAAAGCCTCGCATTTCTTATCTTTTTAGGTTTAAAAAAAGAGAGGTTGTTGGTCAAAGAAGGGTGTTGTTGGTCACAAGACAATGAGGACATATGAACAACATTCATATAATATGGAGATTAAATGGATGTTTGAAGTTGGATATTATTAATTAATTGGTTGATTGATTAAATAATTAAGTGAGAATTACTTGTTTTTTGTAGGTGGGGCTTTTGAATGTGGACGGTTACTACAATTCGTTGCTGTGTTTCATCGATAAGGCCGTTGATGAAGGCTTTATTTCTCCTACTGCACGTCACATTATCGTGTCTGCTCCAACAGCCAAGCAATTGGTCAGACAACTGGAGGTATGCTTCGTGCCTCTTTTCATCATATCATATGCATCATAGAACAGAATATGATCATCAAGATAAATATTAACGGACCTTATTGATGTGTTACGGATTGTACACTCCAAGTCCTTGTAGTGTTCAAACTATGCCACATTGATGCTCATGGATTTCCCACTGATTCCTATGCCTGTGCTGAAGTTTCAGTAATATAAGGATGGTCTGGACAAAGTAGACTTTAAGCACTTTAAGCTTGGATTTTTTATGTAACCAAAAATGGAGAAATTTCCTTTGTACAATAAAATGAGAACCATTTTTTTACACACTATAACATCATGCTTATGGGTTGGTCCGGTTCAATCTGGTTGAAAATTTGGGTCCTTCCTAACCCTATCCGGCTAACCTTGGCGACAATGCTGGGTTGGGGAAAAGGCGTTCTTGTCACCGGTTGCATGCAATTGGGTTTCTCAACTAAAGTTGGCTATTATCAATACCTAGGTTTAGATTTGTTAGAAGATTTACCAAGGGTTTGTCGGAAAGAGTTGTTGCTTAGTTTTTGTAAGTTGTGCTTGAGCCTTCCACGTTACCGAAAGAAAATGTATTTTCGTATAGTTTCGTCAGGGAAGATTAGTACGAACTAACCCTTTTTGTTATTTAACTACACCTTAATTTACAAATTTACTTAATGATATGTTTTGGTTTTTTGGCCCCAGGAATATGTACCAGAGCTCGATGAAGTAACATCAAAGTTGGTGTGGGAAGAGATGGACAGAATAAGCTATGTATCTGAACCAGGAGTGGCCACGTGATGTGTTTGCTCGATTGATCATGCAGAAGTCTTTATTTTTTGCGTTTTGGTTTCACAGTATATACGGTTAATATACGGTATGACACCGTACATCATCAGCGGCAGCAGCAGCAGCAGCATAGGAACTTTGGGTTTTTGTTCTTGTAGCTGAAGCCAGAAACGCTCTCAGGGTTTTTGTTTTTGTAGCTGAAGCCAGAAACTCTCTCAAAGTCCTCTTATAATATATTTAGTTCGAAGGAAAAGAGAAAAAAAAAAAAAATTAGAAAATGAAGGAAATGCTAGCCCTTTTTGTAAAACTCTGAAGGAATCAATTCAAGTTTCTTCTTGGCTAGCTACATGGTTGTTCTACCGTGTCGATTCTTTTGTGACGATGTCTTCTGGGCATCTACAGTTTCTTTAAATTTGTGAGGAAAATGTCAGGAGAATATACGAAAAGATGTGTTGCAAACTTGTCGTATGGTCCTCAAAACTTCAAAAGTGGATATTGTTGTTTTTGAAGTTGACATGAATACATGTCACAAGAGACTGAATAACTATTTTATTTTCGGTAAAGTATTCAACTACTAGAGATTTGTAGCTCAGTTGATTAAAAGTATTCACTCTTCCAACTATACGAAAAAATAAGAAAAATATTTGACCAATTACGCATTAATCATTAAGAAAAGGGCTTTTCTTTCATGCATATATAGCATATTAAGCAGACTTCTTGTTACAGCAGCTTAAGTAACATGACAACTGAATTGACAGAAGACCACTTAACCAATTCAATTCATAATTTTGAGTTTAAATTTACAACAAACAAGAGATATGACGTTGATAGTTAAATTCTTTTTTTAATGATTTAAATAAAGGATTTAATTATTAATCGTCACATAATGTGATTTTATAAAATATGATCTCTTAGACATTTTCTAATTAAAAATAGTTTGTCATGAAACTTGAGAAGAGTTTGTTGACTAGGTTCTAAAAGCCAGGTGGTGTCAGCATGTGAGGCACATGAAGTTTATTAATGTCCAAATTGCAATTGATTAAGGCTTTAAGATAAGGTATAGATCTAACTGAATCAGAATAAGATCCTCACCATCAAAGGTCAACTCAATAGTCAATAAATCTTAAGGCTTCCCTTGTTGTTGGTAGTACGAGAGAGGGGGAGGGGATGGGGAAGGGGGTTTTAACGAAAAGTCTGTGGTACTGTTCACTTTAACGAAAAATTATATTTTACACTAAAAAGTCAAATATGATACTATTCACTTTACCATTTATTTTGTCCTTACCGTTAAAACTCAAAGTTTTCAAATTTTTTCATTAATTTTCCTAAAAAAAAAAAAGGTTATCTGCAAATCTTTTGCTCAAGTTCTTAGATACTTTGGTGGCTTCTAAATTTATAATACAACTGGAAAAAATACCAAAAAAGAAAGCGGGAAAATGCGAAACATGTTCATTTTATTTAATAAAAAGAATGACGAGTTCAAGAAAATGTAAGTTGCTTGCTTATGTGCTAATTCAAGGGTGTACTTGATCTTCGTAAGAGACTTGAAATTTAACGTAACTATAAAGAGATTTGATTGATGCTTGGTTCCTACCAATCAACGATTGTGAATCACTTGCGCATGGATGCATAGACACTTAACGTGTATTAAATTGTGTTAAAAGTATAATCGTGATCGATCTAGTGAGTGTGAGGAAACACTTGAGTTTGTTCTCCTTCTTTGATGGTGGGAATCTTGTGGCAACTTGACAACAAAGCTCATATTGAGTGAACATCTTAAGTCCTTGTGTTTGTGGGATTGGTTTATTTTTGTATTTCTTCGCGTTTGTATTGTTTCGCACTTAATATATAAAGGGAATCCACATTAGAAAAATTCAAAATCATAATCATGATATCAGCTTCAAATTTCTCTATTGACCTAAAGTACTTTTTAACCACTTCTACGTCGGATCCAAATATTTAGATATAAACACATAATTTTAAATGCGTGGATAAACGCTCTTAACTACTTGAACAACTAATCCCTTACTATTACAGTTGGACTGACATATGAAGTTGTACCTTCTATATCTAGCTTAAATTTCTCTCTGAGAAACATATACTACTCTAATTTGATCGTATGTGGTAAAAACACACACACACACACACACACACACGCACTACTCTCCTTGGAAAAATTTGATACAACTGTTGACTTAAAAATACATATGATTTCTGCCCAAAGCTGTTTTTCTAGTGTTTGGGGAACCATAGACATAACGATAATATAATCTACTCTAATTTGCAAGGAAGGGAATTCAAACTTTGGGTTGTCAGGGAGCGTGCATGCACAAACCTAACCAACTGGCCGAGTCCACATCTGCTGGAAACCAAATTTAAGGTAATTTAGCATAGTACAAGTTGCTGCTGTTTTGTGTAAGCTGCAGTGAGTACCTCTAAAAGTTTGCAGGGCTGTCATCCAATTGTTTCTCATCTTCTATATCAACCTCCAAAATTTCCTGAGATCGAACAAGAACAAGATTTTCATCACTGAAAGACTAAGACAGTAATGTTCAAGTGTAAAAAAATAAAGTGATCCCGATCAGTTGGGGTTAACTAACTCACAGGGATCCTCTGCTTCAGATAATTGGCCAGTCTAGCCAGAACCACGCTCCGTTGGTGCCAAAACCGGCCTTTAAGACTGATCTTCACAAAGGGTCCGTGCAGTTCCGCGAGTTCTACTTGTCCTGCAAGTCATCTCCTTATCTTAACTGATTTCCCACCACCAGAAACTAAACAAAATACATAGAAGATAAAGAGTTCAACTTGTCATGCCAACTGAAGTGTTGAAGGGCTGCCCGAATTCAACCCTTGCATCAGCTAAGACCTTTTAAACGTTGTCTTCTGTTAGATCAAGAGGCTGCGAAGGCTTAACGGCTGCTGCTGCCGATATTGTTGGGAATTTCTTGCCAGTTTTGGTTCCCTGTGTTGCTGGGAACGTGGAGATCCTTAGCCTTGGGCTTTGTGTGTGGTTGTGGTTTGCTGTTGTCAGGATTTGGGTTTTGGAGATTTGATGACAAGTAATGGGAAGGGTTAGTGTTGAAGAATGCAGGACTCCTTCCATTCCAAAAGCTTTTCCTTCAATTTGCCTTCCAAACTCCAAAGACGAGCTACAGGGATTAGTAGAGAAATGGATAATGGTCACTTCTCTTTGGTGGATACAATTTACTTGCTCAAAGTCTTTAGCACTGCTGCTATACTAAGCAGTCACGTGAGATTCCTCAAAAGTTCAGACTCCACCAGAAGTCGTAAATTCGAATTTCGTGTGCTACTTAACTCACTAGGTATAGAAACCAGGGTGAGGTTGAAACAACGCCAAATCTCAATTGTTTGAAAGTATGAATCACACATCTCATAACTAAAGGACCTTACATGCGCTTATAAAGATTTAAGTTGCTCCACATTTTTGCGACTGGCTTTACAGCGGAACTCCATACTGAACTAACTACGCTGAACAAACGTGTCGTGCAAGCCCCATCGATTGGGTTTTATTGTGACATGCTGATGCTCAAAATAACCAAGGACTGAAAAAAGAGATTACACAAATACAAAATTCGTTTACACCTCCTATTTGAATCCGACATGGATAATGATATGCAATGTACTAGCTTTATATTGCCGAGAAGTACTCTTTGCTGCCCTTGGGGTCTGGCTTCATGGACTTCTCCCCAGGCTTCCACCCAGCAGGGCAAACTTCATCGGGGTTGTCCTGCACATACTGCAAGGCCTGCGGAATCCAACAAAGGCAACGAAAGGGAGCAACAAAAACCGATTATAAAATGTAATAGGAAACATGACGAAGAAATTCTCAGATGTATGGCAGATCTTGGAAACTAAAGCATCCTATTTCTATTTTGGACTTGATGAATACGTTTACCTGGAGCGTTCTCTTAGTCTCATCTACACTACGGCCAATGGCAAGATTGTTGATGGTGGAGTGTTGAATGACGCCTTCCTTGTCAATAATGAAGAGTCCTCTCAAAGCAATTCCCTATCACAGAGAAACCAAACATCTAAATAATCCAGAATATCACAGCACTGAGTATTTCACAAGTTTATGATTCATTAATTTCAGAATCAGTTATAATTACATATCATACCTGATCTGGGATCAGCACATCATAAGATTTTGAAATTGACTTGGTGACATCAGAGATCAGTGGATATTTCAAGTCTCCAAGACCGCCAGATTTCCTATCAGTTTGGACCCATGCAAGGTGGGAAAACTACACAAAAAAGAAAAGGAAAAAAAGTGTAAGGGCAACATAATTCATCTTACCAATCTAAGGAACAGCAATTTTAAAACTATTTTACATCGAAGAGAGACACAGACACACAAGGTAGATGTACATAAGAAAAAAATAGCAGAAAATACGTAGATTCACATCATTTATCAACCATCAGCTAGAACACAACTCTCCAATGTCGCCAATCTTAGTAACTCTGTTTGATTAACCTCAATTATAGTATTCCAGATGATTCAATTTCTATTTCAACTTTGCTATTATTTTTCTTGGTTGAATATCCTCCTTGTCTATTAGGTATTCTTTCTCCACCAACAATGGGAACTGATCTTTTGGCTCAACCAAAACCACATGCATTGTCGACGACCCATACCACGAGTCCAGTTTCATTTCAAAGTCAAAAATCCCAATGCATAAAATTGACACTTTTAGAACTCATGTTACGGTACTTATTTGTTTACTCATCAAAAGAACTAAGCATGCATATAGTTCAAGGTGCAACTTAGCATATCATCGCATGTGCGTTATGCAGCTATTGACCTTTGCAAGAGAACACGGCTACAACATATCTAGGCCGAACTTTTTCGTGGTATATAGGCAGAATATTGACTTTTTGTGGTATGTGTGGCAAATTGTGGTATTGAAGAAAGTGGGGAGCAGGGCAACATACCACACTGTCAACTGAAACACCCAAGATTTCTGTGTTGAGCTCTGCAAACTCAGCATGGCGGTCGCTGAAAGCGGTGATCTCTGCAAGACGGGTTTATAAAATTTTGAACAAATCAATCAGATTCAGTTAGATTCATCCAGAATCCAATAAAGATTAAATATTTGTATGCAGAAATGTTGATTGCGAAACCATGCTTACCTGTAGGACAAACAAACGTGAAGTCCAATGGGTAGAAAAAGAGAATCACATACTTCTTCCCAATGTACTCAGAGAGCTTGACCTGAAATCCAAAACCAAATCTTCAATTGAAATGAAACAAAGGGCTCACTAGTCATTTGGAACCCCTTCTATAGGAAGCACTTCTGCTCAGAAGCGCTTATGCTAGAAGTTATTTTATTTGACACATGTTTGAAGTTTCTATCGAAGTCCAAATACTTCCTTAAAGAACATAGAAGTGCTTCTTGACGAAGCATCCGGCAGGTCCTTCTCTAGAAAGCACTTGTATGAACCAGAATCAATTTAAATCTCTCAGAAGCAAATACCAAACAGACCGGCAAATCAAAATACAGATGCGATTGCAAACCAAAACAAAACAAAAACGATGAATTAAATTAAAGATTGGACCTTGACGAATTCCTGGTCGAAAACAGCCTCGGCTTCGAAATCAGGAGCAACATTTCCGACAAGGGGAAGCTCACGGGCGGAGGCTTTGACGACGAAGGACTTCCGGGCGTGAGAACCGCCGCGGGAGAGGGAGGTGGAATGGGCGACGCGGGGGAGGTGGAGGCCGTGGATGGATTTGGGGAAGTTCAGGGTTTGGGAGATGGGTTTGGAGGAGGCGGTGACGAGAGGGGTGGATTTGGAGGAGGAGAAAGCGCGGGAGGGGGCGGAGGAGATGAGGGCGGCGGTGGAGGCAGCCATGGTGGTTATGGAGAGCTCAGCCACTCAAGTCAGTCAGTGGCCAATAGTGCGTGATGTGGGGTGAGAGGTGAAGAAAAGGGTTGGGGGACTGTGAGAGGATAAGTAGTAGGGGGGTCGGTAGGAGAGGGAGGTTTGGTAGTCTTCAACTGAACCGGCCAACCGGCTCCATACATCCGGGGCAACCGGAAATCTAGGTAATAATACATATAAAAATTTGGGTACAACTTTTCATATACTCTTTTTTATCTCTTACACACTTTGTTATAATACATTAATTTTTTTTTTAATTCATTCAATCTAAATACTGATTTTTCTCTTTCTACCCACATTTTTTTAAAATTTCTTACTATCGAATTTAACATATCAAACAAAAACATCAATCAAGATTAAGCAAACTAGCAAGAGAAATGCTAAGGAGACTATTTCAAACTGAGACTCTTTTATGTTTTTTACACAATGTTTTAATATGTTTGTATAGGAATTGTGCCCACTACATAAGGTGATGGAAAGTCCATAGAGAGTTCCACTTTTGCAAGAGCCCTCCTTAGCATTTCCTAACTAGCAAAATATGCAGTAAGAAAAAAAAATGTGCAGTTATCATTTCACTTCAACATATTTCGAGGGAGGCAGATCAGATTCTCTGCCCTCCCACTTCTCATGCTCTCCCGTTTTGTGTGGTCACGATTAAGCCATGTCAACATTTTATATTGTTTTTTTATAGAGATAATAAGATAAAAAGGAATAGTAATATAAAATGTTAACGTGACTTAACAGTGACCACACAAATATAAGGGCACGGGAAGTGGAAGGGGCAGAAAATCTACCTCCTATTTCGAGACTAATGGTTCTTTGTACACCTAAATTTTGTCTCAAGACATCAATCAAATTTACTATTTCGAGACTAATGGTTCTTTGTACACCTAAATTTTGTCTCAAGACATCAATCAAATTTATTTGAAATAAAAAACTCTTATACCTATATATAAAATTACCACAAATAACTTACTGATTTTTTGGAGACGTATATAGAGCCTTCCTTTGTAGTATCCGAAAAGAGATCCAGAGATGATCTCTTTCATCAAAATCTAAGAATCAAGTGATTTGGGCCTTTAAAATTTGATCCGACTGTTAAAAACAAAGACTATTTTTAAAAATTATAATAATTTTAACCGTTGGATCGAATTTCAAAATTCCGGATCACTTAATCTGTGAGCTTTAATGGAAGAGATCTCTTTCCTTAATATCCAATCATGACCATCAGTCTATCAATGAAGAATAAAAAGCCCAAAATATCCCTCTTAGGCAAAGTTACTCTGGGGCTGACTAGATTAGACTGGACTCGGGTAATATCCAATTTATTAACCCGGCCCATTCGTTGTAGATTACTGATTTCTCCCTCTATCCCTGACCAATCACATTCTCCACAATGATATTGTTTGGAGAATATTAAGCCTTATCTTCTTCTTCCCTCTTTTCCCCCAAAACAACACTCCTCAGTCCTCCGCCATGACCAGCTGCACCAAAACAACTACCAACCAACCAAATGCAAGAAACCCACTTCCTCTCCACCGCCATCGCCGCCACCAAACAGCCCTTTTTCTCCTCCATTTCCAATCCCGTTCCCGTTCCCAAACCCCAATCCCCCTCCTCCTCTCACCATGACTCTTCCCATTCCTTTCCGCCGCCGAAGAAAACCCCCCACTTCCCGATCCTCTCCGCCACCAAAACCACCGTCTCCCTCCCCCTCCACTCCCTCAAACCCCCAACCACCCCCAACCCCCACTCCGACTTCCAAGAAAAAGTCCTCTACCTCGACTCCATCGGCCTCGACTTCTTCTCCCTAATCAACCACCACCCTCCCATCCTCTCCTCGCCTCTCTCCCACATCAAATCCACCGTCCACTTTCTCCTCACCTCCATCGGCTTCACCTCCCCGGAGTTCCGCCGCCTCATTGGCATGTGCCCCGAAATCCTCTCCTCCCGCGTCGCCGAAATCGTCCCAATCCTCACCTTCCTCCTTCGGGAAGCCCACGTCAACGGCTCCGATCTCCGCCGCGTCATCAACCGCCGCCCCAGACTCCTCGCCTGCAGCGTCAAAACCCGCCTCCGCCCCACCCTCTACTTCCTCCAGAGCATCGGCATTTCCCAAGTCAACAAACACACCTCCCTCCTCTCCTGCAGCGTGGAAGACAAGCTCCTGCCCCGAATCGACTACCTCGAAAAGATCGGCTTCTCCCGCCGCGACGCCCTGTCGATGTTCCGGCGGTTCCCGCAGCTGTTCTGCTACAGCATCGAGCAAAACTTCGAGCCGAAATTCAATTACTTCGTGGTGGAGATGGGGAGGGAGATGAAGGAGCTGAGGGAGTTTCCGCACTACTTCTCGTTCAGCTTGGAGAATCGGATTCGGCCTCGGCACCAGCGGTGCGTGGAGAAGGGGGTTTGTTTTCCGCTGCCGGTTTTGTTAAAGACGAGCGAGGCAAAGTTTCGCGATAGGTTGGAGTTTTGTTGTAATTCTTCTATTCCTTTGAAAACTTCTCCTTTGTGGTGTACAAATTCGGTTTCCGATGATTTAGAAAATTGAAAATATATTATATATAGGGTCTATTTCCAATTTTACAAATTTACTCTAGTGATTAGGGTCGGAAGTCGGTGCAGGATGACTTTTTTGGATTGCTAACTATGATTTTCGTCAACTACTTTATTTATTAATTTGGGACGAAAGTTTGGAGATTTCTTCGATTTAAAAGCAATGATCAAGGTCCGTTTGGTCTCCTATTATTATTATTATTTTTTTTTTTTTAAGAAATATTTCCTGAGATCATGTCTTAGGAACAATTTTTATAAGATTAAAAATCTTGTTGGGTTTGAAATTAATTTTTTTTTTCTTTTCAAATCTTGAACAATTGGAAAAAGACCTACCAACAATTCCAATTCCTTGGTGGGGCTGCCAAGGGAGAGTGAGTGAAGTGATGAGATCAGAAGAGAGAGGTAGAGAGATTGTAGAAGAGGTAGAGGCCAGGATTTACCCGCGAACAGTAAGGGAACACCGTGACTAATGATAGGCAAACACCGTCACATACCGTCTTCATCTATTACGTCTCGAGCCCATAAACTCAACTTGACCTTTGATCAAAGACAAAAGCACATTAGGGAGAGAGAATCCCACGCGAGAAACGAGAGATGAGATACGAATTGATAATACGTAAATTAGAGTACTTAACAAAAAACTCTAAAACTTAACTTTCGTTGTTCTCAAATAATACGGGCAGTTTTAAATTTTTTCAAGTTCAGTTTTGCAAAATAAGCTTATCACAATTTTCTTCACTTTGAAATTTAAAAATTGCTTTTTAGTTAAAAAAAATCTGGACTCAATTCAAATACCAAAAAACCCTTAACTTTCCGTCAAATGGTAATTTCACAAAAGTATACACTGGACGTTGTTGTTAGCTGAGGTTAGTTGGGGAAGTTAGGGTTGGAGGAGATGTGAGAGACTATGGAACCATTGTGATCAGAAAATAAATTATTTAAAGCCAAATAAAGGCGCGGATCGGCGATTCTTCTTGTAGTTTTCGTTTGTTGCCTTTTCTATTAGCACGTTGCACGTTTGCCCCATCATTTTGGGATAATTCGAAAATGGCCATCCAGTATACCATTTTTCCCCTTTTGATGTTTTTTACATTTTATTTCTCATTCGTGTCCCTGTATGTGCCTCGACTTAATCAACTAACTTATGGTCTAATTGTATCTTTATTTTAAAATTGAAGGATGTGACAAATTCGAGTTATAATTAGAATAACATATTTTGGATTACTTTGTTTATGTTGGTCTTGATAAATCTATAATATCTAAACGTAGTTTTTTGTATCTTATATAGTGTAAATATCACACTCACGTTAACTTTAGCATATCTCTTTCGTTTGGTTTGCGGACTAGAAGATTGTGAATAAGTATGTGAAAAAAATCCCATGTTTGGTACATCAACAATAAAATTAGAAAATCTACAACATATCTATAAAGAGGGTACTTCATGCGTTTGACCTATCTTTTGAAATTTTTTGTCCACGACTTGGGAAGACATTTAAAGCATTTTTTTTTTTTTGTAATTATCCAAGTTGTTTAATATACCACTTTTGAATGTGAAACGTAACGTTTTTATTGAAAAAAATATACACATTTGATTCTTATTGCCCCATAAACTAGATGTGGAAATGAAATAAAAATGGTATTCCCTCGTTTACATTTTTCAATTATTTCTAAACATTGAAAAGAAAGTGTTCCCTTCTCGCATAGGAATGAGCATGAGAAGTTTATTCTCGAAGAGCTCATTCCGCTAACCAAATGAGTTCAAGCTACCACTCGATTTGATAATTTTTTAACCATATATCATGGATCTTCTTTAGTTATACTTCAAACTAAAACTATACAGATGAAGAAAAATTGACCTAGTGACAATTTTGTACAAGTCAACTTTTAATTGTTTTGATATTTTCTTTAATTGTTCTAATTCTACTTTATTATATATTCTCCTAGGGCAACAACACAAATACGAAAATTGCAGGGGTGGAAAATAGAAACAAAGTTAACAAATTAATTTTTTTCGCCGTGTTCCCTCCACATCTATCCGAAACTAAAAATTCCCTCCCTTCCCTCGTTTTCTGCTTGCTCTTCCCCTAACCCCCATAAACACACTTTCCCTCTCTAACCCTCACTTTCTCTCTCTAAACCCCCTCTCTCTTTCTCTCTCTACCCTTCTCGGATCCCATTTCGCCTCCCCATAAACCCTAAAGCCCCGCCCTCCTCCGCCCTCCCTCCGATTCTATCCGGATTCCCCAAACCTGAAGATCCACCTCTCTCCTTCTCCGGTCGTCTCTCGGCAATCGGAGAGCGCCGCTAGTTCGAGCCGGTCGATCCCTCTATGTCCGGCTTCGCTCGAGCTCCCAACCGCCAAGCACCGCCGGCGACGGCAGCTACCGGCGGCGGCTGGCTCCCAGATTCTGCCGCCGTTGAGGCGTCACCTCGCGTTCGAGTCCACGAAGCCGCAGCCGTTCCCTTCCGACAATTATCATCGATTCGCCGGCGGTCCTCGCAGAGCTGGGGACCAAGAACCTGAAGCTATTCTTGTTCGATCTCCTGTGAGTTGTTGTCTTTTCCATGGATACCATTGTGTCAATCTCACTGCGTTGGTTTGTTTGGGTGAATTGCGTTGTAATTGTTCAAAGAATTGAGGGTAATTCTGGTGATTGTGATTGATTTTTGTGTTTAGGGTTTTGTGTGAGATTGGGAACAATTTGTAATTAGAAGATTTGGATTAGCTCATAAATGCTAAGTTTTAGGTCATAAGCTAATATTGTTCACTTACCTCTTAAGGTAGTGCTTCTTAAGATATATTGTAAATTGGTGGTACTTCTAAAAATATTTATAATTATGTTGTAAATTTGTAAGTTTGGCTAACCCAAAAATGCAATTGTTAGTCGCAACCGGAAAAAACGACAATTGTAAGTCTAGTGCATAATGCAACTTGTCAAGGTGAAGTATTGTGCTAAATGTTGGCGATGAGGGGCAGACTGAGAAATGCTATGGTGTTGAGGTGCATCACACTTAAATGTGTTGCCTAATCTGGAGTGAAGGTACTGATTTGGAAGTAGACTTTCAAGTTGTAGTATTTGGCTCCTTTTTAGAATCAATTGTTGCTCATGGGGTGTGTTAGTTTCTTGATCAGGTGTATAAATCAGTATTATATTAGGGTAATTGGGTATAATGACAACGATAGCGGTTCCATTCTCCATCCTCCATTTCATCTAGATTGATTTCCAGTGTTCATCTCACCAAGATCATAATGTCGCATAGCCACTACAGTTTTGCATTTTAACTAGTATGGTTGCTAAGTCGCCTTGTGCCTATTCTTGTAATGAGCATCCTTTGACTTCACTGGTGTTTTTCAGCAACTTACTCGGAAGGACAACAATGAAGTAGGATACAGTGATTGGACCAACAGTCCTGGAAATACTAATGTTATACAGAGTCCCCTTCAGACTCCTGTGTCTGCAAAAGGAGGAAGGGTAAACAACAGGTCAAAGGCTTCCAAGGGCGGTAGATCCGGACCTCAGACGCCTGTGTCAATTGTTGGTGAGTCTTCTTATCTCTTAAGTTTTTTGCTTGACCTCTACAGTTTTGACCTAACTTGAACGAATCACCAAGATGAGCTTCAGATGGAGCCGTCCACGAGAAAGAGCTTGCATAGCATTATTGATATCAACAAAGTCTTCTTTCTCCCTGGATTAAATACAACTTGAACTGTCGACTTATCTTGTTCCGTAGATATTAAGAATCTAATTGGATTGCTTCTGTCAACAATAACATGCAGGTTCCCCTTCTACTCCAGCCGGAAGCTGTCGTTATGACAGTTCTCTAGGTAATTGGAGAATGAGTTTTCTTCTCTTTGACATGTGTGGTTTTTAGAGTTCTCAAGGCTGTCGTATGATGTCACTTTGATATAACTGTGCTTAAATTGTCCAGGTCTGTTGACAAAAAAGTTCATTAATTTGATTAAGCGTGCAGAGGATGGAATTCTTGATCTAAATAAAGCAGCAGAAACTTTGGAGGTAATCATTTTCTGTCAGGGTGTATATATATATACACTAACACAAATTCTCTGCATTTGGTGGTGTACTGATTGACGGTTTTGCAAATGAAACAGGTTCAGAAGAGGCGGATATATGACATTACAAATGTTTTGGAAGGAATAGGTCTCATTGAAAAGAAGCTGAAGAACAGGATACGTTGGAAGTAATCTTTGATAGTTTATTATAAAAATTTCCTTTCATTTTCAAGTTCTAATAAGAATTGGTACACATGGAAACTTACACAAGGATGGGTTAAATGATTGATTAGGGGATTTGATGCTTCAATGCCAGGGGAATTGGATGGTGATCTCTCTATATTACAGGTATTTCAATGTTGCAAGTTCTTGTAATGCAAAGGTCAGGAACTTATTTATTTATATATTAATTATGTTGTTCTTTGAATTGTCACGAGCAGGGATTTGTCTGTAGTACATAAAAACTGCTGAACTCAGGTTCACATAATGTTTCTTAATTTATAGACCAACAATGTCAACTGTTTAGATTGCTACAAAAATCATGGTGTTAAAAGAAACTTTGACAATTTAGTAGCTTCTTTAAGCAAGTTGAAAGCCTAAGTTGTGGTGTGTCCTGCAGGCAGAAGTTGAAAACCTATCCTCACAAGAGCGCAGATTAGATGATCGAATAAGGTTTATGCGGTTAATTTTCTTTTTGGACTCCAATTTTCTGTCTTGAGACTTTTGAAAAGTGCTGACGCCTCCACCTTTGTGCAGAGAGATGCAAGAAAAGTTGAGGGATTTGAGCGAAGATGAAAACAACCGAAAGTATCGTCTTGTCCATTGATTTTCTCATATAATTTGTCTTTCTTTTTTATGTTTGTATTGTTAGTCACTTGCTTCAATGTATACAAATACATTCTTATCTTCTACTCTTACTCTAGGTGGCTTTTTGTGACTGAAGATGACATTAAGGGCCTACCTTGCTTTCACGTGAGTTCCACACATCAAATCTAACACTGATTTCTATGATGGTTTAGTGTTTTCCATTAGGTTAATTACGCCTTTTCTTTTTCAGAATGAAACCCTGATAGCAATTAAAGCTCCACATGGAACCACCTTGGAAGTCCCAGATCCTGATGAAGTAAGTCAAGCATAAATTTTTCTGAAGGTAAATGTTTTATATTCCTTTTCTCTTTGATACATAACTGAATTCTTCTTCAATATGCACCAGGCTGTTGACTATCCGCAGAGGAGATACAGGATAATACTTAGAAGCACAATGGGGCCCATTGATGTCTACCTTGTCAGGTACGGTTTCCTTTTTTTCTTTTGTGGACGAATATCGTTTTACATTTGAGGTCCTCTCCCTTTTTATTTTTTTGTGTATTGTTTTGTGTGTATTATTTGGTGTTAGTCAATTTGAGGAAAAGTTCGAGGATGTGCATGGCGCTGAACCACCTGTGAACTTCCCAATTGCTTCTGGTTCTGGGTCCAACGAACACCCAACAACAGAAGTGGTAACTGTGGAAAGCAGCGGGAAGGAAATTGAGCCTTGGCTGCAGCAGGCTCATCACGCGTGCTCTGACATGAACGCTTCTCAGGAGTTTGCTGGGGGAATGATGAAGATTGTTCCTTCTGATGTTGATGTAAGTATTGTTGTTCTGACTGATTTGTCTTCTTATGTAACTTGCAAAGGTAAAAGAGAAAAACATCATTCCAAGACTGAAAGTCAACTATTGACAATGACAAGAGAATTAGTGTAGCTTCCGTATAAGTCTCAGATTTGAAGATTGTTAACTGGACTACTTATCATATAGTTATACGAAGGTACAACATAAGACGTACGCTTTTATTTGTTTGTATAATGATATCAGAAAGCTGAGCAAAATATAGGAAGACTTGTTACGTGGATGCTTTTGTCGGACCTAGTGCAACCTTTGCCAGAAAAATAGAGCAAGCGGAGTTCCATATGCTCCCGTAAAAGATTTTTCAGAACCATGTATACGCTCAACAACGTATACATAGACAAAATATTTAGAGTCTTGCTAATACTAAATATTTTTTTGTTATTGTTACAGAATGATGCAGACTACTGGCTTTTGTCTGATGCTGAAGTTAGCATTACAGATATGTGGAGGACGGATTGTATCCTTTTTCAAAATTGTTCCCCCTTTTTCTTTTCACTCTCTTCCCGCTCTTTCGGTTTTCTTTTCAATTAAATTAATACTTCACCGTGTGAATGATCAGTTCCTTCACTATAACAACTTCAGCTGGTGTTGGATGGAATGGGACAGACATTCTTCATGCTGACTTTGGAGTGACTGATGTTAGTACTTCAAGGCCGCAAACTCCGCCATCTAGGGTTGTTGAAGTCCCATCTCATGCTGTTAACTTCGCTCAAAGGTGAATCTTCGTTTGTGTAACGGGGTATCCGTAGAAATGTCATGTATCTACCCCATCGGCTGCCTTCCATCACTGTCGAGTATTGCGAGATGCAACACCGGCAATGCATTTGGAAGAAGTTAATGGATGACAAGCTGGGAGTTATTGTTATACTGTACAGTTCAGTATGTCTTAGACCCCTGTTGTAGGAATAAAGAGTTGATCGTTAAACTGTAGAAGCGGCGGATGTTCAGCAAGGAACGAAACATTGAGGGATGGCACATCCAATAACGGTAGGCAGCGCTACATGCGGGAGAAAAGTAATGCTGAATCTAAATGGCATAATCTAGTTGTACGATGCATGCTCATTGTTTACTGCATGCATACACCGTGGGGGGTTCTGTTTGGAATCCTTGTCTGTAAATGCTGTGCTTTTAAACATGTCGCAGGACAGGCATGCTGGATATTGTTACGGCAGCAGAGATTTTCTAGTCCTGAGTTTAATCTGATTCTATTTTCTTATGAATGTTATTGTCCGGATTTCGCGTCTCTTTATTCCAACACTAATCGGTTTATATCCATTGTGCACCAATGCTGCCTCTATTTTTTCTCTACCAGCACCTGCTTTTCCAGGTCCCAATGATACGCAGTTATCCTGTCAAGTGTTTCGACCCTTGAAATACAACCCTAAGGTAGAGCTGTAGAACTTGATATACAATTTTCAAAAACATTGATACATTTAAGTATAGATTTGTGATAATTGCGATAATTAGTGGTGATATTTGTGCTTGTGATGGTGGTAATGGTGATATGTGGACTGGTGTATTTGTGGACACCTGTTAACCATCCTTGATTCATATCTAGTTCTTTTAGAAAAATGCAATGGCGTCTTGTGCGTGAAGAATTGTTTCATGAGAAATGCTAAAGAGACATTCTCAAAAGTGAGATTTTTTATGGACTCTGCCACCTTATGTTTTTTACACTATATTTTATAATATTGATGCTTTATTAGGGTTCCCTCATTTGGGATCCCTGAAGAAGAGGATCAAGCTGGCCCTTGCGAACAACTTGATGCACTAACTCACTTCAACCGTTTGAAAGAAATGCGGCCAAAAGAGGAAAATCTATGGACAGACCCCATCGTCTCCACCCCATATGAACTACGAGGTCACTCCAAGAACGCCTTTGGACAAAAATTAACGTTAAAGGGCTTATATGACATGACTAATCAATATAAATACTTTAACACTCCAACAATTTAAACTCATATTTAAAAACTTTTTCGCTATACTATCAGTTTTGATATCTATAAAAAAAATCTAATTTTAAGAGAGTTTCATTAGTATTTCTCTTGTTCCATTAGTTTCCAAGCATCACTTCCATCCTAGTATCGAGTTTAGTTGTTGACTGGTAGTGTGCGCAGCCTCCCTCTGTTTCAAGTTGCAACTAGGATTTGAGCGCATGCGGGTGGCCCCAACCAGAAATTGGCGGGACCGCAAACATCGATCTTTTAAAACAAATAATAAGATAAGATAGTGTTCTGCGCGTGTAGACAAAAACGACGTTTGTTTTAGGCCATTTATTGCCAAAACGCACCCCGCCGGAAACCCAACCCCGAGTTTCACGTTCCATTCCCTCTCTCTCTCTCTCATTTTGTTGTTCATTTTGTTGTTGCTTCTTCTGCTTTGCTTTCAGCTGCTCTACTATGGACGATTCCACCCTACTCAGCCCACACCCGGCGGGCCCACTACTCCCGTCAAGCAAGCTCGGCCGCAGAAACTCCATTTCCACATCCGTGGTGGTCCCCGCCAAGCTCAGCCTCCTCTCCGACACCACCACTCCCACCTCAGCGACCAAGCATCTCCAGCGCCTCCACAGCTCCACCTTCCCAAACGGCGACGTTTCGCCCCCAGCACCGCCTCAACTGGACCTGGAGTTCCTCTCCCTCAAGAGCTCCGAATCCTACACTTCTCTCAAAGACCTGCTCCCCTCCTCCGCCGTTAACTCCCCCACCGCCGCCTCCGCCAACAACTCCGGCTACGAAATCTCCATCCGCAACCGCCTCGTGAAGCAGGCCGCCTGGGCCTACCTCCAGCCCATGTCCTCCACCTCCGGCCCATCGGGCCCAAACTTCCTCCGCCGCCTCTGCCAAAAGCTCTCCCCCTGCCTCTCCTTCTTCACCAACCGCGTCGTCCCCTTCCTCTCCCGAGTTCTCGGCCGCACACTCCTCTGTATCGGTCTCGCCACCTAACCCAGCCTGCCATTTTTGTTCGTCTGTATATATTTTGACTCAAAAGAAAACAAGATTGAATGAAAGAATTTGAATTCGGAGTTCGATGAATCAATCAATCGATTTCTGTTTCTGGGAATTGTACAATTTTTGTTCTTGTTTTTTGTGATTACAATCTAATCTCTCTCACTGGATTGGCTTAGAACGCCTGAGCCGGAGCTTCTCAGTCAACTCGTCAACCTGCCCACCATCCGTTTGATGTCGGGGATGAACCACCTTGGGGGACCTCGGAGTCTCAGACATAGCGCGGTTGATTGTGGTGGCTCTGCCATTTGGTGTTGCTGTTGGGGATTCTGGCTGCCACTTGTTCTTCCCGCTCGGTTTACGTACCGGCGGTGCTGGCGCTGCTGTATCCTGCTGATCATCATCGACTGTCTGCGACTGCGAGGTTGGTTTAAAAAAACAAACAAACACAATGAATTTTCAGTAACTTGTTTCCCTGGAGAATTCAAATCCTTGTTTTCGTGTACGAGAAATTGTTTCTTGCTGAGAATTTTATGGGATTACGCATAACATGAACCAGGTAAACAAACGACTGAACGTGCGGTCAAGGATTCTGGGGCAGACATACTAAACTTCGACCGATACTAGCAAAACCCGAGAATTGTATTGCATTGTGAATGCGGCGTACCTCGGTGGTGGGTTTGGTGGCGAACTTTGTGGAGTTAGCAGCCATGTACCGAAGGGCTTGGAGGAAAGCAGCGTGGCCATATTGGGCGAAGTTCTGCCAGTAGAGTACCGTCAAATCCCAGGCTCTTGCTCTCATCTCCAGTAACTTCCTGTCTATGTCTGTCTCATGCTTTGCTACATATGGCCTCAGGAAGGTCTTGTACACAAAGAAAGTTCCCTGCAACCGCATTTCAAACGCCATTCCAATGAGTCAAATTGAAAATCCGTGCAACCGTCTTTATGTTGTCAGACTGTGAATGTGGACCTCTAATCAGGTTAATTGTTATCTTAATGTTCGTGTAGTCGGTCGGTCTTATAGTCTGCTAGCATAAGTCTAGCACAACGTTTGCACATTTCAAATTGTCATGTTATGTTGTCAGACTATGAATATAAGTATTGCCTAAATATTGATGGAATGTATGGTCGATCGTCTTCAAATTCACAGTTTGCTAACATAAGTCTAGCAGGGCGTTTTGTGTTTCTTACCTTGGTCTTTGGATACCATAGGTATATAAAAAGTGCCACCTTCCCTTCACCATACATGGGCAACCTTCAAATTTTCACAATTCAAATGTCAAATTAAATTTAAAATGTGGTATGTAAAATGAGTTCATAGTAAGAGGGTGACTTGTACCATGAGATGAATAAATCTCCAATCCTCTCAAGAACTGTGAGCATTGCCACGATTATCCTGTGAAAACGACATGTCGTTATTGCATATTCAACTTGACATTACCAATTTAGAGCTCAATCAAACATGCCCATAACATGTAACTATACATCCACATAAGTCACTAAAATGCTTTAATGATATGTTTACAATGATAGGGACTCAGAAAAAGAAGGAACTCGGATAAATAAAAACATTAGTTTCATCAAAAGTAAACTTCAAATACGTATAATTATTCAGATAAGGTAAAGTTTATTTTTATGTTAAAATCGAATCTACAACATTTTCTCTCATTACTTTTTCTTCTATATTTTTTTAGGCATTTTAGTCAAAATTGTCTCTGAAATTGGCATAACTCCCTATTTTGGTCTCTGAGATTTGGAATTGAGTGCAGTGGCCTCTGAGTTTGTCTACCATAAATTATTTTGGTCATTTTGTAAAAAATCTCTGTTAAATAAAGATAAAATGACAAAATACCCTCAATTTAGTAAACAATGGGCCAAAATGATTTGACAAAAATTGAGGGTATTTTTGTCAATTTATCTTTATTTAATGGAAATTTTTCACGGAATGATTAAAATGATTGATTGTAGTGGAGAAATTCGGAAACCAAAATAAGGAGTTGTGTTAATCTCATGGATCATTTTTAGATTTTAAAAAAAAAAAAAAAAAAAAAAAAAGCCAACAAATTATTGGTCGAATTGCTACCAAGGATCTGAACTTAACCAATGTGAGATGACAACCAAAACATGAAAATACTCTTCCAAAAGGTAACCAAAATGAATTTCAAACATCAACCATACCAACCCTATAAGGGGAAGAACATAAATCGAAGATGTCAAAACAATAGTGTCTCAAACCTATCACGTGTTGTCTTGTGGTTTAATTTTTTCTCACGTCACATGGTTAGTTTGAAATATCATCATATTGACATGTTCGTTTCATGTAAATCTCTTGCCATATTGGCATATCACTAAAACGACTGGGTTTTTAATTACGTACCAGTATTGGCACCAAAACCGGAGTTCTTCAATCTCAACTCTGTTCTTCTCCACTGTTTTGTAGCACTCAAATGCTGGGTATGCATACCCAAGAAACAATCTGTACACCCCCAACAAAACAAGTCAAAAAACAACCCAAAAACAAAACCAAAAGTAAAGTCGAAGATCAAGATCCAAAACTGGATTAACGTTAATGAAAAAACATTAACATACATAAGAATTCTGGTTAGCAAGCTTCCCAACATCTTTCAATCCCTTCACATCAAACACCAACACACAGAAATTATATCCCTGCAACACGAAACCCAACTTTTAAATCAACCCCACAGTTGCATTACTTCGAACCCCGAAACGCGTAGAACGTCGAGATTTCAGAAAGACGGGCCAGCGTTGATCGACTCACCTTCTCGTTGAGAACAAGTTAAAAAGGAAGAAATAGAACCACAAATGCCCACCAAGTGAGGAGTTCCAATTAAACAGCAAGAAGGAAGGGATTAATATTATTCTTTGAGAAGAAATGGGGTTTTATTTACTCTGATTCTGTGAAGGAAAATGTATTTCGAGGAGAGAGAAACAAGAGGGGGGGAGAGAGAGAGAGAGAGAGAGAGAGAGAGATTCGCAGGAGTTTGGGACGGGAAGGATTGCCAAATTTCTAGAAATGCTATATTTGTATATGTATCGATTCCTATATATACACAATGGAGTTTTGGGGAGTTAAGCTGTTAATCCACAACAGGATCAGATTTAGATTAATTAATTAATTTAATTAATATATGAGAGATGAACAGAGATTTGGATTTAAAAAAAAAAAAGAAAAAAAGAAAAGAAAAAAAAAAGGAGGATTTCTTGCGATGGACGCCTCCTTACGATTTTACACGCAAGTCTGTGGGGAGGGAGGGATTTCTCGGGATTTCTCGGGATTCCTCAATTACCGTTTGGCAGTTGGTTCTTCTTAGGGGTATTTTTGTCGTTTGACATATGTACCCAGTCGCCAGAGGTTGCGAAATTGTTTTTTACTTTTGCCTTTTTTTTTATTGGAAGTTTTAACGAAAAATCGCAGTACTGTTCACTTTAACGAAAAATCATATTTTTACATTAAAAAGTTAAACATGGTATTATTCACTTTACTCTTTATTTTGTCCTTATCGTTAAAACTTACAGTTTTCAAACTCATTTCATTAATTTTCCTTTTTTTATTTCCATCGAAAATAAAATTTGATTTTTCTGTTTGATATTTTGTTTTAACAATTAATTAAGAAAATAAAATTCCACGTAACTAAAATGAAAATAAAGAGAAAAAGAGGGACGGAGGCGGTTCGTATGGAAAGAAGTAAAAGGTTGCATCACATTGAAAAAGTCACATATTTGAGATAATTTCTAATATAACAATATTTATTTAGACAATTTTGTAATAAATTGAAATTATAAAGGAAAATGAGATAATCTATGTATATTATTGAGGAATAAGAGTTTGGTGAAACTGTTTGGACCCAAATTTACATCATCAGTCCGTGCAATCAAGCCATTGAGTGAGCATAGCTCTCAACCGTCGGATGAAAAGTGAAGATAATTTTGTTATTATTGAAAGATAATATTTTGATTTTTATCATAATAATTTTTGTTTAACAAATTATCTTGATATTTTCTTATACGGGATAATAAGATGCAAAGTAAGTTTCCGAGCAAGCAGTACAATTCAAATGGACTTGGGGACTCCTATTATCAGATTGAGCAGCAGGATGGTGATGGTGCATTAAGATGAAATTTGAATAGTCAAGATGCATGGTTTTGGGATAACGTTGAAGTCAAGATAATGATGCAAATTGGAATGTCATTGGTACATGGAATTTGAATGACAGAGATCCACGACATTTAAATATTATAACCAATCTTCTGAGGAATCTTGACTTTGAGGGATATTATCAAAAAGGTTCTTTATCACAATTTATGGACGCTGAGAGTTAGAATGGAACTGGAATACTTTATTTCAGTGGTTGAGCATTACAAAATCTATAAATAGAGGCAGTGGCAATGACAAAAATGACCTCCAATTCAATACACAATTGCCCTGTGCAAACCTCTCAAACAACTTGAGATTTTTTTTATTTTCTTTTTCCGCCGACACACCTTCAATTTGGATAAACAGCATTGTGAAGGCAACCGACGAACAGCTTCAGTTTGGATAAATAGCACTGTTGCCGTAGAATCAGTCGTTCCCAAAGCACATTCAGTTTGAATAAACAGCACTGCGTCAAGGCCGACTGGCTATCTATCCAAGTCTCGGTCTAGAAGGATTTTCGAATCCTTATTGGCAGAGGTCATCTCATTAGCCTTCTCGGCGAAGTGAGGTGTCACCAGGTTACTACATTCGGCACCCTGAGAGCCGAATTTGATATTGAACTTCGCAGAACTAGCAGCCTTGTCTTTAGGCTCGAGAATCCAAAGACCGAGATTTGTTCCTTCCTTGGCTGCGATCGCAAGATCAAGAAGTCAGCAGCGCACTTAATGCAACATCAACAAATTTTACTCCTCGGCCGAGCTCGACCGACGAGTTGGCACACCCCGTATTCAACCGAAGGACGTAGTTAGCTTATTAGTTACTCGGCCTGCGCGCCATGTAGGCTTTGTAATTTTTAGGATCAACATTTTGGCACGCCCGGTGGGACCCAGTGCTAAAACTACAAAATTCATATGATATATCAAGATGTCAATCTGGCTCTATTTAGCCGATTGCACGAGCTTCTTGTGCAATTGAAAAGAACCAGTGAGGAGAATACACAACGCCTTGAAGAGAATAGAAAACGCCTTGTAGAGGATAAAAAATCGTGGGAAGTGGTAAAACTTCTTCGTGGCGTGAGAGCCAGGCAAAAATCATTTACCTACATGTTGAGAATAAAAGCTCCTATTACCCTACAAGAGCAATGGGTAAACGAAGATAGTGCTTGATTTAATGCCTGGCTAGATGAAGAACGTTTTCCTTACGTTTCTGACTATCGATCAATTCCTCTTGAAAAATGGTTAAATCTAAAGGCCGGGGGGGGGGGGGGCAATTTTCCACTCGGGTCACAATCAAAATTTGGCCTAAGAAGATTGTCGAGATGGCCGAAGTCGAACCTAGGCCACCTGTTTTCTCGGTCGAGACTGAAATTGTGGTAGGCCTAGAAGAAAAAGTTCCAGTTTCTGAGCCACAAATCAACTCGGAAAATTATTCGTTAGATGAGTGCTCCAATGACGAACAGGGCCAAGACATGATCTTAGATGTCGAAACCATGACAGTTGATATGGTTATTGGCGATAAAGTCGATATGGAGAAACCTCGTTTGGCTAAGTTGTTCGAGTTAAGAACCAAAGTTGGCGAAATTATTATGCCTAGGGGGCATAATAATTATTCCACACGTTCGGCGGCCGATGATAAAAAATATTTCGTCAAGTCAAAAGTATTTGGCAATGATTTTTTATTTGGCCCTAGAAAAAGGCAAATTGAAAATTTTGTTGTTCCAAGATCTCGACTTGGAATAAAGCATTGTTGGCTTCCTCCTTTTCATGGATTGGCCACTTTTATTCCCGTATGTTAGATTTCCATTTTCTTTTTATATATTCTTATCCATCTGGCTTTTTGAGCCGATGTTGCATAAGAAAATAAGGGGGCAACGAGTATCTAAAAAAAAAAAGGAAAAGAAAGAGGGAAGAAACTTTTGGCCGAAGGAATGGAAGCTGTTGGCCGAAGGTGTCAAAAAAAAAAAACGCAAAAGAGGCCGAGGATATTAACCTATTTAGCCGGCTCAGAAGGAATCATTTTGATCGAAGTGACGGAAAGAATGCTTTTGGCCACAGGAACAAAAATCACATACGTTGCTGACATTGGATATATAGTATCATCACATCAATCAGGCTACCTATTTAGTCATGATTGCTGACAATGGGTTATGTGTGTGTGTGTATGTATATGCATGGTAGAGGAACGAGCTGTCAAGGAAGATTTTTCCCTCGGCCCTTCACCCCCAACTCTTCTCGACCTGTATCATACATGCCGAGTTCGGTGAACTGGTGCTCGGTGCAGGTTCTTTATATATATATATATATAGGCATGACTGACAAATTATATTAGGTAATCAGGTTACTTATATATCTCGGCCCTCGACAGCGTTCGGTTTTCCTCGGTCCAAATTTTTTCGAGATGGTCGAAGAGGTTATTTATTAAAGTGGCCGGGCCTTGTATAGAATTGTTGCAACTGAGGAAGACCATAGTGTTGGCAGTGCAGAGATGTTGTTGCTGAGTAAAAAGTTTCATTATCGGCGATACGAGAGTTTTTCGATTGTGCTAATTTCCTTAACCATTCGGCCTACAAGCCGAAGTTCAAGGAAATTGGGGGGCAATGTTTGGACCCAAATTTACACCATCAGCCCGTGCAATCAAGCCATTGAGTGAGCATAGCTCTCAACCGTCGGATGAAAAGTGACGATAATTTTGTTATTATTGAAAGATAATATTATGATTTTTATCATAATAATTATCGTTTAACAAATTATCTTGATATTTTCTTATACGGGATAATAAGATGCAAAGTAAGTTTCCGAGCAAGCAGTACAATTCAAATGGACTTGGGATAAGGTTTGAATAGTCAAGATGCATGGTTTTGGGATAACGTTGAAGTCAAGATAATGACGCAAATTGGAATGTCTGGTACATGGAATTTGGATGACAGAGATCCACGACATTTAAATGTTATAACCAATCTTCCAAGGAATCTTGACTTTGAGGGATATTATCAAAAAGGTTCTTTATCACAATATATGGACGCTGAGAGTTAGAATAGAACTGGAATACTTTATTTCAGTGGCTGAGTGTTACAAAATCTATAAATAGAGGCAGTAGCAACAACAAAAAGGACCTCCAATTCAACACACAATTGCCCTGCGCAAACCTCTCAAACAACTTGAGATTTTTTTTATTTTCTTTTTCTGTCGACACACCTTTAGTTTGGATAAACAACACTGTGAAGGCAACCGACGAACACCTTTAGTTTGGATAAACAGCACTGTTGTCGTAGAATCAGTTGTTCCCGAAGCACATTCAGTTTGAATAAACAGCACTGCGTCGAGGCCGACTGGTTATCTATCCAAGTCTCGGTCGAGAAGGATTTTCGAATCCTTATTGGCAGAGGTCATCTCATTAACCTTCTCAACGAAGTGAGGTGTTACCAGGTTACTACATTCGGCACCCTGAGAGCCGAATTTGATATTGAACTTCGCAGAACTAGCAGCCTTGTCTTCAGGTTCGAGAATCCAAAGGCCGAGATTTGTTCCTTCCTCGGCAGCAATCGCAAGATCAAGAAGTCAGCAGCGCACTCAACGCAACATCAACAAATTTTACTCCTCGGCAGAGCTCGGCCGACGAGTTGGCACGCCCCACATTCAATCGAATGACGTAGTTAGTTTATTAGTTACTCGGCCTGCGTGCCACGTAGGCTTTGTAATTTTTAGGATCAACAGAAACATTCAAAATATGTTAAGAAAGCTTTTTGTTTTTTGTTTTTTTTTTTAGTACATTGATATTTTTACATTAAGGAGAGGAGGAGTTCAGCAAAGTCACACAATAGGCAATCTAATTTGTTATCAAATTTGCCATTTACGAGATTTGAACCTAAGACTTCTCACTTCCAAGTGAAGAGGAATATCATCAGACCATAGTACTAAGTGGTAAGAATGTCTTTTTGTTAATTCAAATTCTAGAAGAAGATGACTTAATTTTTGGCAAACGGGTCACGTTTGTCATGTTCAATATTCATATCGTTTTCGTGTCATACACGTTATCTTAATGTATTGTGTTGTGTCAAATCTTTTATCTTAATTAGTTCTTAACAGGTGACCCAACAACGACACAACTTGTGACGGGTTGTGTCATTTCATGTCGGGTTTATGGGTCACGGAAGAAATTATTATACCTAATGTCTAGACCTTGCAAACATGTCATGTTTGTGTCGTTTATGTATCATACCCATTATCTTATTAAGTTCTTAAGTGGTGACCCAATTCGTTAACGTGTTCTTAACATGTAACTCGATAACGACTTGACCTGCTAATAGGTTGACCCGAAACCTGTTGTTTTTGTGTTATTTCATGTCAAGTTAACGAGTCATACCAAAAATTACCAAATCTAATTAATAGCCAGATAAATGTATTTCTATTTTGCTAGCTTAATAAATACAAGTTCCTATAACCGTATAGTCTCTAAATAGGGACAACAGACCTCCAGTGGGTTGGAATAGAAGTCCTCAAAGTATCCCATATATAGGGACTCACCGAATATCTCAAAGAAATTCTCAAATGTGAAGACTATATATAGGGACTCAAAGAGTGAGTCCCACTCTGTATTTTGAGTGGGAAAAAAACCTACTCATGTATGAATGTTGCACAACAACTCCTTTTTTGTTTGTTTGTTTGTTTGTTTTTTTTTTTGAACCCACCCACGTGAATGATTTCTACAACTTCATTTTTTTTAACTGTTGGATAGGTTATTAGTTTTTATTAACGGCCACAATACTACAACGAAGTGAACAATAATTTTCTAATATTTTAGTCCTTACATTTAAGAATTATACTATAAAGACCTTCATTGCGGACAATATTCTTTTAGGAACCCTAATATTCCCTTAAAATGCCTAAATAAGTCTTCAAAGTTAACGGTGGGAGTCATTAGAGATGCTCTTAAATTTACACACCTTGACCTTTGCAAAATCCAATCCAATCCAATTCCATCCCAAATACTATATATATTCTCGTCCTATTCCTTCTGCCACATCACATTGCATAACCTTCTGGTATTTATAAACGTAACAGTTTTAATCATAAAAAAAAAATGCATCTTCATATAGTGGTTATTGACACAGATGTATACATTGTGATAAAAAGTTAAGAAAAAAAAAAAAAGTAGACATTTTTATGTGGCACAGTCTAAATTTAATTTATAATGTTGTTGAATTACACGATAATTAACTGATGAGGTTGAAACACTACCGTCTCGTTTGTTTAAAGAAAAAAAAAAGAATTATTAAAGAACTAAATACTGCAAATAAACAAAATAGCGAAAGACAAGATAAAACAAAACAACAAAAGTGAAGCTGACAGACAAATAACTTTAAAAATCAGATGGAACAAGGGTGTATTTGACATTTAACATTTGGTTGACCTTTCTTTTTAAACGTGTAATACTATAATACTAAACTCAAAACATGACTACTAACTAATACTATCTTTGAACTAGTCACATCCACGCCACATCACAAGTTTACAACAAAATGCTCCCCACTCCAAGCCTTGGGTCAATGATCCCACACTAACGAGAGGAAGAAAACTTACATATATCTACGGTCTATCTTTTCTTTTGATTGTCAAATTGATCCAACGTTTTAATATACTCGTTATATTATCTTTATAGCACCGTCATTTCATCTGTATAAACATATCATTTTTTCTAGATTGATTAACTGTGCACTTAAATATTATATAATCATTAGAACAACCAATTTCCCTTCTTAAAACAATAAAAAATTCTCTTCAATATGTTCTAATCTTTGAAGTTTACCAACAAAAAATAATTTTTTGGAGTTAAATTGGGGATCAAAGCATCAAGGTTAATGATATGTTGACTGTCTAAACTTCATTCCAAGCAAGTAAACATAAGTAAACGTTTGAAACAAAGGAAGAATATTTCAAAACAAGTTTGTCATTTCGAGGAGTTAAGATTTGAAGGTATTATCTTCAGCTGATAGCTTCGTCACGATAATTTATCTTTTTGAGGACGTGAAAAACTTACATAGGCATTTTAGTCTCCTCTTGGCTACTATCGTGTGATTCACTAACAGTAGGAATCAAACCCAAAATATGCCGTGTAGGCTACGAGCTTAGATATCGTCCCCAACCACTGAATCACCCTATAGTGGTTGCAGCTGGAATCGAGTTCAGATGATCAAATTGATATTGGATTATGGATAAGTGGACCCTTAATTAAAGTTGTTATATTAGGCCAACAAGACAACAACTAATTAATAGTTTTTTTGAACAAATTATAATCTTATTACTAGTCAACATATTATTAAGTAATGGAAATTATTATTACGATTCATAAACTAAATTTGTATAAATGTTTTTATATAAATGATTATGCATTAGTTATAAGATTCAGTCCCGCTTGTGCATAACCCACAGTGTAAGACTGAGTAATATAAATTAATGGAATTATTAACTATAGTTGTTCCTAAATATGTATCTTCAACACAAGCAACTTATAGTATATAAAATAAAAAATAAATATAATATTATATGTAGGTGAATTAAACCAAGAAGCAATTGTTGATGTATGGTGTGCATTTCAATTTCCTGCAACTTCCTTGAAGATGAACCGATGAGAGTTCCCTTTTGTCCTTTCTTTCCACTACTCTTCCCCCTTCTATTTTATTAATTGGGTTAATTAAATGGTCTTAAATATAATTATAATAATCCACGATTTCAATTTCCTGCAACTTCCTTGAAGATGAACCGATGAGAGTTCCCTTTTGTCCATTTTTTCCACCACTCTTCCCCTTTCTATTTTATTAATTGGGTTAATTAAATGATCTTAAATATAATTATAATAAGGAAAATTTTATTTGAACCCATATAACCATTTTTTACACCCACCTTAAATTTTAAATGTGAATTTTTTTTTATCCTATTGCATAATTACCATCAAATACAAGGTGAAATTAATAATAAAACTAAAATTTATTAATAAACTCACTGTTGATTCTAAAGACAACTGAGGGTTTAAGGCTTCTTCGAATTGGGGAATCAGGAATAAAGAACTTGGATTTAAGAATTTGGACAAGCATAAAACCATCCTCTCCTACTCCCCGCAACCTTAAAATCATCACTCTCTCTTCTACCAAAACAATGCCAATGAGGTTAAAATCGAAGACAGATCTCAACGGCTAGATAAATCGCTCTTGCCGGCCTTAGCCCACTTCTACTCACTTTCCAGAAGAATAAAAAATAACAATTAACATCTTCATAAAGATGAGGGGGCTAGCTTAATAAACATTACAAACCAGATAGTAATCATTCTATGTAATTTGTCTTTATATAATTATTATTACTACTGTGTGTGTATTTATAAAATGATTTTGAGTTAGGGAGTAGAGTTTAATTATTGTGGCAATAGGAGTGAGTGAAGCGGCAATGGGATGAACAATGGAATCCAATTCAGATAAAGCACACTTTGAATGAATTGCATAACAGTGATTTAGAGTTTTTGTTTTCTAAATGGGTCTAAAGATAAATTTACATATTAAATTGGGTTTGTGAGGGTAGTTTAGGGTATTAAATTTGAGTTTAAAGAGATATTGATAGTTTAGTGTAATAATAATATAGGTGCAGAGAGTAAGTTGGGTGTAGAAAGATGTTACATGAGTTCAAATAAAATTACCCTTATAATAATCCATGATTTCATGCAAAACATTGTTTGGTGTTATGTTTTGAAGGACTATGAACAATTTCAATAGCGACCAAAACCGTTTGAAGGTCGTAAACAAAAAGTTTTAGCGATGAAAACCATTTCTATTTTCTTTGGTTTTTATAAATTTTATTTTTAAAATTTTAATAATCACATGCTTAGTATGTGTGCAACTGCTAGTTATAACAAAGCAACGAGTATTATCTATATTTGACAAAAAAAAAAACAAGTATTATATACACAAATTGACACACATGGCCCTGATAACCAAGGGGACACCGAAATCAAGACATGTTGGCTAACACCAAGAACGTGACGAGACCATAATATGCAATTGGTGTGTAAAAAGTACGAGTAAATTAAAACCAAATCTAGAACAAATTTAATACAGGAGTCAGAGACTGCATTGTGGTAAGAACCCTTATTACAATGCATCAACATCGGAACATAGATAAAGGTACAGCAGAAAAGAGGATATTCCCGTCTTGGGTAGGATAAATATTGTACAACTAATGGAAATAAATTTCCTACATTGTCAAAAGTAGATTGTCATCTGCCAACAAACTCTTGCTCACCACAAAATCCAACTACCAAGTCATAGAGGAGAGCAAAACAAAAAGTAAGTGAAAAAAAAATGAAATTACAAAAAAAAAACCTTTGTTTTTCGCAATAGTAACCTCTCATTGTAAAACGCATGTAGTTTTATAAAACCATACAATAAATAAGTTTAAAAAACCAATACGAATAGTATAAAAGTAGTTCTATAAAGATACGAGTGAACCACAAATATTACAAATGTACATAATATGCTCATTAAAATGTAAACACATAAGCCCATGCACAAAATAACTACATAAATAAGTTGAGTGTAATAATCTACGCTCGAGTATTACGTATACGTGAAATTAGCGATAAACACGTTACATATAAGTCCTAGATCCAAAAGTAACTAATAAAGCCTGCCACTTAGAAATAACAAATTCAATAAGAAACTCTCGAAGTATATAAAGTAACAGAGATGCTTCTTCGACTCTTTCCTTCCATTAGCCCACCTCTCTCACTCTCCTCCGGTTTCACGTACGTCTCCATTTTCCTCACCTTATTTCTACTTTCCATTATCCAGGATTAACTCTTTTAACAGGTAATAAGTATTAAGTACCCACCCACCCACAAAGCCTAACTTTGGTTTTCACGTTAACAATTAATTGTCCTAAACAAGTACGAGGCTTTCATAATTTCATACACCTTTCAGAGAGAATTAGCTAGCAGTGGCAAATTAGCAATAGGATACTTTTAAGTTCTGTCGCCCTGATATTGTCCTGTAACTTGCATCTTACCACTTACACAACATGATAGGTTAAATTTTATCACAAAAGGCATTGGCGTAATTAGTACTGTATAAGTTGATATTTGATTTTGTTTTCCGATGTGAGATTTTTGTATTGTCGAACATATAATTGTGGAGTGAACAGTTATTGATATTCTTATGTCGTTATATAAGGCCAAGGGCAAGCTACAGATTATACTGTGGGAGCAGAGAAATAGGTGAGCAGGAAAATTCAGAATCTGAAGTAATTCAAGTGAAGAATCGTGCCACATTTCGTCCGTGCAATTTGTCAAGGTTCTTACTTTTTTGGCTACAAATTCTTTGTGATGTGTGATAGTTTTCGTGACGATTGTTTTGTGAATTGGGTTTTTTTTTATTTTATTTTTTATGCTGTTTGATATTTTGTTCAGTTTCACCACTGAAATACTGCAGATACCTGCAGACAATCCAACATTGCATGTTCTTGTTATACCTGGAAATCCAGGTGGGTTTTTGTGTTTATCTGGCTGGAATTGATTCAATTGTCAGAACTTACTATTTGGATTTTCGGTATATTGCAGGTATTGTTTCATTTTACAAAGACTTTGTGGAGTCGCTGTATGATTTGCTGGGTGGAGCTGCGTCTGTGACAGGCAAGAATTGGGTGTTTTTTGTATGTCATTTTCGGTTATCTATTTTGGAAGTTGTAAAGTTTATGCTAATTTGTTTTCAATCTTGTGTCTATCATCAGCTGTTGGGCATATATCTCATACCAAAAAGGTATTACATTTTTCTTATACGAGCTTCGGTCATACTTGTATTGATCCTTGCATCAATTTTCAGTACTTGCCCTTTGTTGCTCATGATTATCAGTACATGGTACTGTACTTTGGTTTCCTTTCCAACCAACTAATCACCTTTAGAATCGGCAAGTATTATGTTCGGGAATGTATTAAATTATGCTAATAGTGAGGTTAACCCTGGGTTTCTAATGTGAAGAAACTGGAAACTAGGGTTCTGACAATTATTGTAAATCATTGAAGTATCTTAAGCTTCAAAACATCTGTAAATCAAATTACTTTGTCAGTTGGTGTGCATGAACCAACTCAAGGGCTCTTTGATCTTTGTTTTTTGAAGGTAATTCATATGGACAGATCACAGATGTGAGAACCGAAAGCCACTAACAGGTCTTGTTGCCTTTTCCTTGGAGAGAAAAGCTAAACCAAAATGAGTAGGAGTGTCTATGAATCAGTTATATTTTAGAGGGCACGATGATGTATGTCTTCAGTAGTTAATAAAAGGGTGGTGGGCATCTTATGGTCCTCAGGTTCAAATGTTTCTGAATCTGAAAAATACAAACTTTGTTAAGATGGTTGCAAGAGTAAATTTCAACCAATTATGCATGCAAGTGCATACTTTGACCTTCCATTATGTAAGATATTTGATCTTGCTTGACACTTTGCTTCGGTGGTCTGTGGCATGGTCATGATTGTTATATGATATTCTCTTCTTGTCAGAACTGGGAGCATGGAAGGCTGTTCTCATTACAAGAACAAATTCATCATAAGGTAAACTGTGCTTGCTTATGGTTTTGTTTAAATGGTCGGGCGGACAAAAGAGACCAGAGATCTGTGATACATCTTCAAGTTGTTTGTGTGGTGGTTTAATGTCCTGTACAATGAAGTGAAGCATTTGAATGTCATTTCTTCCGAAATCAATTGCCTTCCCGTTGATCTGCTTGTATTAAAAATATCAAACCGTGAAATCCAAATTACTGAATTGAGCAGCTGAAATTTTAAGTTTTCATGTCATTCCATGCGTTTGTTTTATTTTAAAAGCAGCAATCCAACTTTGACTTGCAGATCTGACTTCTGTTTAGAACACTATCCGATTTCTCCTTTTCCATTACTTTTCCTATTGGCACTCATTCGCTAATTTGTCTATATTGGAACTTATTAATTATAACAGTGTCTCAGGCTTAATAGAATGGTATATTAGAGTCACATATAGTGCTTACTTGTTTTTAAATTTGTGTGCAGATGGACTTCATCAAACAGGAATTGCAAAATAATGAAGTTCCAATATTACTGGTGCGGTAATTTTCTCTCTCCAATTTCTGCTGCTAATTTCAGTTTAATGTCTCCTGTGTGAAGAAGAGGCGTATATACGTGCAATATCTGTTCCTAAATCACCTTAAGATTGTTGGACCAAGTTAGATATCTCTGCATTTGAGTTCTGTAGCATTTGCCTGTCAGCAATGCTGTATCCACTAAACTTTATTTCTAGCATATACATCAGCAACATTGCAAATACACATCCATTGCCTTTACTTTAACACTCAAGCACTCGTTAATCAGAAGCATTTCCCAGTGTCAATACAAAATGTTCTCTTGTTTCAGTTTTTGTGTGTGATTGTTTACTGACAGTAGTATATTTTTATGAACATAAGAATTGTGATTGAGTGCCCTCTCTTCCTCTGTTTTTTTTTTCTTTTCATTTGGGTTTTATCCATAATGTATTTCTCCTATGTAGAAAATAAAGGGATTTAATTGTTCAATGGGTGTGTTTTTAATCTTCGATCAATGGTTGGGTGATGAACATCTGTCAGCATTTCCTGGTTCTGAACGAGATTATTAGTGTACCATATTTTTCTGTGTTCAAAAGTTGTTCTTCAGGTGGTGATCTCAACAAATTCTGTGATCACCAATTCATCCGCAGGATTACACGAAAGAATTTGAAAGATTGTAAAAATTGATTTTCTTCAGCTTCTGATTTTTACCATCTTCTTATAAAACAGCTGAGTTTAGTTTCCTGCAGGTTGGGCACTCTATTGGTTCATATATATCTTTCGAAATGTTTAAAAGGTCTCCAGAGAAGGTGACAACAACCCTGTAAAATTTTGTCTACTACTCATTTGTCATACTATTACTACCACCCATAGGTTTTTTACTGCAAAGAACCTGTTACTTAACATTGTTTATGGAATTTTAGGTAACATTTTGTGTTGGACTCTATCCATTTTTGGCCTTAAACAGACAATCCATACAGCAGTCTTTCATCGGGAAGCTAGCAGCGTAAAATTTTTTCTTTGTTATGAATTCTTTTGATTTGGTCCCATGCATTAGGGGGATCTTCTGTGCTTGATGTACATGCAAATGCAATAGACAGTTATTATAAAGAATGTTTTCATGTTTTGCTGGTACCTTTCGTTTTTGTTTTTGTTTTGAACAAACGATATTATCTACACTAAGGGGAAGGGGGTGGGCTTACCCTCACAATAGGCTAGCAATAATGTAGTTCAAATTCGTCTTTGGCGAGAATCGAACCTAAGACCTCTCACTTACAAGTGAAGAGGAATACCACTGAACCGTAGTACTAAGTGGCAGTACCCTTCGATTTTACTATTTTATTTCATGCCTACTTTCCGTGGTGTCTCTTAAGGTTTGTAGGTTTCACTTATGGGATAATTAAAGTTGAACATTCAATGAGAATATTGACAGTTGATGATTGTAGGGAACTGTTATTGACTCCAAAAAGTCATCCTCCACTCCTCCAAGTTGAGTTTCTCGTTTAGTGTTTAGGTGGGCGGAGTGCTGGATGACTTATTTATAGTTTCAATAACAGCTCCCGCTGTTTTTCACCATTTATTGAAATTATCACTTGGTCCTAATGTATATTGGCTGGTTCTGTTAAAACTCATCCTAGTGATACTGGTTGTGACAGTCTAACATTAGGTATTCAGAGAGAATAATATCACAGAATATTATGTTTCAGGTCCCGCATTATAAGTGTTGTCTTGAGCTTAATTGTTGCGCTGTTGGGATTGTTTCCTATCCGATTGTTGAGGTTAATTGTGACCACATTCCTTGGGAAGCTCTGGTCAGCTACTGCAGTTGAGGCTACTTGCTCTCACTTGGTAAAGGTAAAGGTAAAGATTTTTCTTGTAATAGATTGATGAAGTTCGCTTCTTAGGTCATATATATTTTCAAAAACGTCGTAAAATCTTTTCTTTTCTGGTTATTTCTTATTATGAAGGAGCTTATATACCAATGTTCTACTGATTTTACTATTTTGCCACCATGAAGCAGTATGTTTTTTGTTCGTGAGTGTGTGCACACTCACATGCATGTGTTTTGAATCTTTTCCGTCAACATTTGATTCGTGTACTTGCAGTACCATACCATGCGGAATGTCCTCTTTATGGCAATGACAGAATTCAGAAGGTAAAACTCTTGGTTTTCTGTAAATTTTAAGATATTGTAATTGATTGTGAAAGTTACTAATAGTGTTTGGAAAAACTGTAGTTACTGACTGTGAGGATGTATATTGGCTTTGTGCTACTGCATATACTGAGTGCATCCTTGAACTGATTTGACGAATGAGTTCTTTCCTAATTGGTATTCATATATGCTTTCAAATCTGTTATCCTCATGTTAACAAGGAAGTTGTAGCACTAATACATTCGACTGAAAAGTTTCCAGTTTCCACGATGGTGTTCTACTATTTATTCTAGACAATATTTTCCTTGTTAAGATATGATATTCTCTTTGCATGTTTTGCATCTTTAGCTTCAACAAACACCAAATTTGCGGCATAGTTTGTCTAGGAAAGTTAGAAGAGTGATAAACACATTTTGTGCTTACCATAGGACTACACTGTCAGCTTTCAGAAACACTAGATTGGGCATTCATGAGGACTACACTCTCGTTTTCGTTTTTCGATCTGGAAAAGAATATAACCAAGAGAGTAGCTTACAACTCCACCAAGAGTAGGAATCTAGGAAGATCAGGGGCCTGGAAGGTTTTAGCACATACGTTGTTCGCTCAAGCTTAGTGAATATATTTTGATTTATGTCATCGATATCTTTTGGAGAACTGCTTAGTAATGTAGTCACCTATGCACTGCTAACAAGAGGAATTTTTTGCTATGAGATAATAAATTGATTGGAGATAAGACTTTTTTGAGACTCCAAAGATTTAGCATTTCCTATCCTGTTTTTAAGTTTAAACTGTGGGGTAATGTTTTAGCGATGATTCCTTATTATGGTTTTCATATGAGAAAAGTGTATGATCACAGTTTTGTCCCCGATAAACATTGATTGAGAATGCTTAAATGGCCAATAAATTTAGGTTCTCTTAGAAAATTTTCTTTCCAAGCAGATATAAGATATAGTACGAATGAGATAAAGTGGTTCCGGTTCTTGATGTTATTGAGTGTTAAATGTGTGTTTGCAATTTCTGAACGCCCTTTTTCACTTCCAGCACACTTTTTTTTTCTCTAACTATTGAATTGAATAAATCAAAAGAGAAACAGAAGTTCATATTTAAAAGGATGCATGTGTGTAGAAGGTGTAAAATGGCGCGCAGATTGCACTCCCCTTTGGTTTAGGCATTCTTTTACTTTTGCTATTGGCACTGGGCTTATTGCAACTTTGTATTTCTGTGGGTCCCAGATTTCCAAGCAGGTCCCAGATGCTGTTCTATCAATTGAAAGAGAGGGGCCTTACTCATGCTTTTTGTTGCACTGAAGCAGGCCAATATGGGTTGCTGAGCATGTAGCAGGCTTGATCAAGAACAATCAAGCTTCATAGATATACCTTCCCTAGCCACTAGCTAGCCCACCATGTTTGTCTTTAGGATTTGCAAATATTACACTTTCAATTGGATGGATAAGTCAATAAATAAAATAAATCTAGAGATTTGATTGTTGCTTGATTAGTTATACTATTAGCAGCAACGTATAAATTTGATGAGCTGCCTGCTTATGGACAACGAAGCAACACATCAAGTACACAACCCGTGTATTCTTTCTGGTAGTAAAATCGTGCGGTTGAGATCAGACTGTCATAGAAACAGATCACAGGACAGTCATTTTAGCATACAGGTGACCCTTCAGGAGCTCACGTGCAGACTTTATAGAGAGAGAGAGATAGCTCCTCTCCCAATCCACTTAGTCAAATCCCCTCATCCCAACTCTCAGTCGCTCCCTCAACTCAAAACCTCTCTCTCTCTCTCTCTCTCTCTCTCTCTCTCTCTCTAAAACACACACAATGCCTACAACAACCAGAAGAAAGCTCCGGCTGAGCAAAGTCACAGTCGACATAGGATGCGGCAGCTGCAGAAAACCTAGTAAGCTCTTCCAAATATTCAACCCTAAACCTAAACCCTCCTCCAAAACCCTAAAACACAACCACTTTCATCATCCTGCTTCTTCTTCTTCAACCCCACGCAACAATTACAACAAACTCTACAAAGACAACGACCACGCTCCTTTTTTTGTCACAGATTCCAACACGAAGAGCACGCGACCAGTCAACGGCTTCGGTAGAATCGGCAACGAGAGCGTGGCCGTGGAGAAAGACTCCGGCGACCCTTACTTGGATTTTCGACACTCCATGCTACAGATGATACTGGAGAACGAGATATACTCCAAAGACGATCTCCGGGAGCTTCTCAACTGTTTCCTGCAGCTCAACTCTCCCTGCAACCACGGCATTATCATCAGGGTCTTCACGGAGATCTGGAATACTGTTTTCTCTGTCAGGTCTGGAGATTCGACGTTGCTGCACTTTGCGAGCAACAAGTCATGTGACTACTAGCTGAACCTGTATCTTCTGCACGTGCAGCGGAGTTGGGAGACTGAGTTTCCACTTACATGTCGAGTTAAGAAGAAAGACAATGGAATTAAATCAAGTTATTTAAGGTCTTTTGTATGGTTGTGGGGTGCATGTAACGTAAAGAAATAGTTTCCATGAATCAAATATTATATGAATTATGGTTACGATTTTTAATTTGTTTTTTTGTATTAATTATATTTTACCACTTTCCTAGAGTACAAAGTAAATCGTCGGATGAGATAATGTGGGATCATGAGTTTTGTTACATAGTGTAACATGGTAAAAGAATATTTCTATATATGTATTTTTCAGTTCTAAAAAGTTATACATTTTTACCTTTCACTTCTAAAATGTTACTGTACAAACTTTACAGTTACAATGTCTTCGTGAATTTTTTTCAGTGCAACACACTTGTGATTTTACATCTTATGTGGTTATCTTTGAATTGGAATTGGAAGCTTGTAAGTTTTAGTTAGAGTTTTGTCCAACAAAAAAAAAAGTTTGATTAGAGTGGACTTAATTAGGATTATTCGAGAAGAGCTAAGCTGCAATAAAATAAAGGACGATACTTCGTACTTATATTATGCGTACTTTTTTTTTGTCGAAGCATACTCTTACTTGACTGTGAGTAATGTATTTTTATATTATACAAAAATTATGATCAAAATGGCTCATTTGTGGTTGAACTATCTCTATAAAATAATCAATTAATTTGAGTTCGTTTAATCTTTCATACGTAATGAACAAACCGACAATTCTAATAATAAATATTATAATTATAATGAACTGTTAATTTATTTAATTATGTAAATGACTACATGAACTTAAGTTATTAGAGTTTAAACAAGTGTTGTCCTAAATAAGCCAAACGATTGACATGATGTGCTGGGTCTTTCTGCAGCAAAAACTCTTTGTAGCCTCTTGTGCTCTATTTATTTGAGCGACATGTGTGTTTTTTTATTTTTTTACTTAACTCATCTTTAGTTTGAAATATTTATTGAGGAGATAAGTAAAAAAATTAACATTGTTAAATAAGATTTAAATGAAGATTAAGTATCAACAAATAAGATAGATCACAAAAAAGTCACAAATTTTGAGTGTAGAAGATTTTAAGCTCGTCACTAGGAGTTTTAAGTTGGGTTGGTCAACTCAAATGAGGATCCTCTCTGAGTTCTCTGTACGAGGATTTCAAAAATCTTTTAATCATATTGGTTTATTGTATATCGTGCGGTTAGAAATTATTGTAAATTTTTTTATTTAAAATTAAATATAAACAGTAACTGATAAAAATTAATCACACGATATGCAATAAACAAATATAATTAAAAAATTTTAAAATCCGCACAAAAAAAATTCGAAGAATCCTCATTCGGTCAACTAGGGCAAGTTTCAAGAAATTAGGGCATCACAGTGGGAGAAACACAGGCATTGGGATTTGGATTATAATTATTAGAGAGAGTTGGAAGTGGTGAAAGCCAGTTGTTCTATGCATTTTTATTATGTGTGAAGAGAGAATAGAAATGTCTATTACTGAGTCCTGACGTATCTTATACATTTTCCAATGGGATACTCAATATAATTTTTGGCTTCTTGCAATCACGCACTTGCAACTTGGCCTTCGATCTCTCTCCGTCTCGTCTGCTCTGCCGATGTTTCTCTACCGTCAATTATTACCTATTTGCTCAAATCTTCGTGGCTCTCCTCTCCACCTCAGGAAATAAAAACATCCATAGCATTTGAACCAATGTAACTTAGACCATTTCTATTTTCAAATAAGATGTCAAAAATATCAAATAGACATATAACGGTAACAAATGACGTACCATTTACTCCAACTGAGATGTCAAAGATAATATGGAAAAAAAAACTAAACTAACATAGACAAAAAGATGTCAAATTTGAAGTTGCCTTCAAATTTTATTTTTGCTATTTCCAAGAGCATTTCACTTGCCTTACCTTAAATGCTAGTGTATTTAAGTATTAGTTTATTATTTTTAAACCAACAACAACCTAACTTTTATTATTTTTGTTTTAAAAATATATAAAATGAAGCAATAAATTTTGGCATACAAAGAAAATATTGAAATTATGTCAAATTATCAAGTTAGCCATCAAATTTAAATTTGATGTTTTGAATTTAAGTGTCTCTTTGAAGATGCTCTTCACGTCAAACTTTGAGAGACGATTTCGCAAGTCATTACTAATCAGCATCAAGTTAATATTAATACTTTAATTATTTACTACTAATTAATATTGATATTGTTAAGAATTTAAGTTGCGTCAAAGTTTAAATACGATCTAGTAACACACTACTAACTAACATTAATATTGTCTTAAACTTAACCACATATTAATTTTATCTAGTAAGTGTGTATACTGAAAACTTCAATGTATAGTAGAATCATTATTACAGAAGAAATTTTATGTGTGACATATGCTTTAACACTTCAGTTTAATCGAGCATATAAAGTAAAGTATAAAAATTCATGGAAACAGTGGATATTTCAACACCATGGGTTCCTTGAATGCTTGCAAAACTTATTTTAAATGTCATCATGTGAGTATTACTGTCTTACGATATTTCTAAATGCCAAAGTGATCTTTATGCAGCTATCAGATAGGGATAAGCGCACGAGAGTGAAGACCCACTTGACTCTATTTGTACCCAAATCACCAAAACCAGCCATACCAAAAAGGCACAAAGATCATACTTACTATGGTTTTGCTTTGCAGTGACAAGTACAGTTGCAATCGTGCATCTCTACCTCTCTAACCATTCTCCATATTCCCAAGTTACTTCTTTTTTTCCTATCTGTCCCAAAGAAAACTTGATGATGAAAGATGTTCTTCCGCACTGTCTGATAAAAAATCTAAATAAAGATATTGACTTGATGTGAATGTGTAGTTGTTGAAACAGAGATTTGATTTAATGGCGTTACAATCAATTTACTTGGCAGGAGGAGAGGAGACTCAAGAGAGGCATTCATGATATTTGGTTTGTAAGAATTTAATTTTCTGGGGAGAGAGACGTTGGACAGAGTCATGGACTGCTTCCAATTTTAAATGAAGGAGAAGGCCCTCAAGTATTTCCCATAAGCAACAAGATAGATTTTGACTAAACCCTTATAGTAGACCACATTCGATTCTTACGTTCATGATCATGATACACCTACAAATACAATATGAAATTTGCAAGTTGGTGCGTGTGAGAGAGAGATGGTGATTAATTTGTTTTAATAAGAAAATATATTTCATATTATAAGCTTTAATTAGTCATTTTTTTTTAGTACAAACAATAATTTATCTAGTCTATTAAGAGAAGAGGCCTATTCAATTTTTTGCCCCTTTTTTACTATTTTACCCTTACTTTTGATACACAATGTTGACATGAGGAGGGCAAAATAGTAATTTTGTAACTATCAAACTTTTCCCCTTTTTTCCTATTTTGCCCTCACTTTTGATACACAATATTTACATAAGGAGGGCAAAATAGTAATTTTGTATCAAAATATTTACATAAGATAAAAATATGCACTTATTAAGAGAAATTATCCCACCATCATTTTTTCATCCACATAAGTGAAATCATGATGTTTTTTGGATAGTTTGAATGAACTGAAGCGGTTGCGCTTGAGGAGAACGTGGAAGGAGATGGGCGGTTGAAGAGGCTTTAATTTGGTACCTTTTGACAAAATGACAATCATATCCCTATTTTTCCTATTTAACCCTCATTTTTTGAGAAAATGACAATCATATACATATTTTTCCTATGACAAAATAGTAATTATGCAATATTAAGAAAAAATATGCACTTAT